ATACATATAGACATGCACATTTAACACACAATCAGCGGGTTTTAAAGGATTTGTAAAAGTGGGATAGAACATTTTCAGAGATCACAAATGACTAAACTGAGTTTAGAAAGCACGATTTCTGTAAGGGTATGAAAGAGTCTTTTAAACATCCCTCATATCATTAATACTTCTTCACAATTGTTATTTATGTTATTTTGACTAGAATAGCCATACAGTCTTAAGATGAATCTAACAGACATTTCATAATTAGCATGTGCTGTAAAACAAAATATACATGCAAATCATTTTTTTGGGGAGCAATCTAACCTTTCATGTATAATGGTCTATGAAGGTACATTTACTTAGCCTTTAGAAAGGTTACTTGTAAAGTCTTATTATAAAGTTAAAAAAAGGAAAGACATCCTTATACTTCTAATATTATCCACTTATTCTTGATATCAAATCATGTGCGCCTTCTGATATTGACATAACCTAACACCAAACTTTATTACATGTTATTACTTATTACTAAAAATTACTCTTAAGACCAAGGTAACTGAAACAGTATTCAGCATTTATTATTGTCAGCATTATTATTATTACTATCGAAGGTGATCTGCACACCCCCCATGCAGAAACTGTAATTATGCACCGTACAGTCAGCTGAGGTTACTTATGACTTTGGGGTTATCTTTTGCCAATTGATTCGAGCTGTACAAGGCATGGTAACAGGAAAGAGGAATCAAATTCCTGGGAGGAATCGAATCCTGGTGTACCTACAGGATCCTCCTCAGCTTCTCGTGTTGTAATGATCATCGATATCAGAAGGTACAGGAGAGTAACTGGGCACACATGATTTTCAGTGAAGTGGACAGCCCACCATCAAAACGAGGACTGTGCCAAGTGAAGAATAGAAAAAATGTCTGTATATTGTAGGGTGGGTATATTATGGTGTCAGTACTTTTCTTAATAAAGGGGATCTATATTAACACATAACAAAAATGTAGCAGTCTGAAGTTTTACATAAATAGCTCATTGGGCCCATCTTACTTAATAGTAATGTATTTAATGTTACTCAATGACGTACATGATGTTAATTAATGGTTATTATATTATATGTTATATTGTATAGGTTTTTGATTTCTAATTTATGTGATTTTGAGTGATTTCATAAAATTACCAGTGCTTAGTCTTGGTTATCTGAGTTAAAATTGTCAAGATGAGTTTACTTCTTAGCTGGTATCCTTATACCAGGTGACCTTACAAAGTTTATGTTTTGAGCAAGTACAAAGGAAAATCAAATAAAGAAAACAGAGATTCACTGCAAAATAAAATGAAGGTTTCTGTTCTCAGAACTGAAGTATGAGTGATTATTTATATATTTGAATATTTGTAGACACATTCCCGATATGATGCCTTTATTCTGATTTTGAATTAAAACAAAGCTGAAAGGGCCATGCAAAGCAAAAAAACACAGTAAAATCATAATAATATACTAATAATATAAAGGTGCTACAGTATATAAAGCAGTAGTATAGATGTGTAGACATATATTCCATGTTGACAGTTAATACAGTTGTATTAACTCATCTGTTTTGAAATACTGTCTGGTTTGTTTTATTTCAGAGCATAAAACAAAAGGCTGGATGCTTTTAAAATGGAGACACTAGGAAACTGCTCATAATTTGTTTATAAAGTCTGCCCTGCTGGTAATGAATGAATGCTGTACAGATCCTGATGGTGACTTCTGAGTCCGAGGAAATGGTTTGTAAATAGTTGAGGATTCAGGGTAGAGAGTTGGATTGAAAGACCAAGTTCGACTTTTCTGTCTATAGCTAAGATGAAGAGGGCTTTGACAAGCTTTCAAACTCATATCAGCCAAGGCTGAGAAGAAAAAGGACATGTTCAGAAGAGTCGGCCTATGGGTTTATATAACGGTGTAAAGGCCAGCTCGCTGGAAGATGGTGTTACAGTTCTGCAAAGCCTGTGTGAATGATATCTGTCTGGTCCTCTCTCTCTGCTGTGTCATGGGTTCCCTTGCTTTCATTCTCCCAGCCTGTGCAGTTTTCTGTCTCTATTGTGATCCACTGTAATAAATTATATTAGAAACAGCATACAGTATCAACATCAGAATTTAAAGAATGACATAATACCAATCACAGAACAAGTGACATTTAAGATGGTGTGAGATACGCAGCCTCTTCATTGAAATACAGTATTTAAGCTTTTATGTACATAAAGAATTAAACATTCTCTGGTGTTTGTATATCTAAGAGGTTCAAATGAGATTAACTTGTATTTGATGTCTTCTTTTTTACGTTCTGTTTATATGACTGGTTACATTTCGGCCGTTTTTCTTTTCAATCTTGCCTCTCATTACAAGTTACAGACTGGAATATGATGTGTCTACATTTGTCCCGTCATTTCTAAATGAAAATGTTACCATAACTTTTCTCTGGCAAGCATTTAAGGGAGATTGTATACAAGAGCATTGCAGTCTTTGTTGCTGGGAGCAGACATTACCAGCAGGGAAACGCTCACTTTCTCACCTTGCTTTGGCCAGTGGTGGTTGTAGCTGATTTTGGAATAGCACATTACAGTATTAAGCAATACGACTGAAAAATAAAATATCAGAGTATGTTTAAATCATGTATAAATCTGTGTTTACTGTATATTAACGTTAATACGTACACTGCTGTGCCAAAAACTTGGACAGTTTGCAGCATTTTAAAGTGCTTAATGATTTTCCATCTTTATGAAGAAACACAATTCTATAATGAAGGTCTACAGGAACTTCATTTTGTTTTGACCAGTTCTATCAGTATTTTTAAGCTAAAAATAAACTTATAGCTTAATGGATGTGTAGAGAGCAACTACTTACAGTATGCTAATGGTAAAAAGCAGCTGACCATGAGTGAATTAGATTTTATTGGTGATACATTAGAACTACCTCTTTATATTGGCTAATTGTGCGTGGTTTGTCTTAATTTGTGGTGATGAAGGTTTTGAAGATTCCGATCTAAATCGGTGAAAGATTTCTACACTCTTGGATCAATCTCACCAAATCTGAGTTGTATTAATAAAAGTCAAAGATGTGATATTTGCAGGAAACACTAGTGGAAACTCTGAGAAAAACCGTTGACGTTCGACTGCTCCTTTTGGCACAGGAATATCAGTTTATACACTATTCTCAGTGAAGAAGTGTTTCTCGGAAAAGTCCCGGGAAATGTTTTGCAATGATTATGACGACTGAATTCTGGATTTAAAAATAGTCGCTTAACAAGCCACGTGAGTACGATGTTCCAGCAGATGTGCTCAGCCTTTATTTCATAGGCAGACAAGGAGCATTATTTGTTCCTGTAATGGATAAAATAAGACTGTGTCTGTTTCAGTGTGAAGGCACGAGAGGTGTAATTTCTTGACCGAGCACGATTACGCTGAATATCCTGCTGAAACTGTGGAAGAGGTACTTTAAATGGAAGGAGAGAGGAGGCAGAGCAGAGGAGTGACTGGCAGGGTTAGAGCCAGCAGACAGCTGTCCGTAGGGACTGGGAGAGGCAGTGGGCTAAGCACCAGGAATGTTTCACCTGGCCTCCCCTGAGAGCAGCTCTGGGCCACTGATTCCCTTGGTGGGTTTAACTGTGGTACAGTCCCTGAGGGACAGCCCTCTGCACTACTGAATGTCAATTAGCTGAATGACAACAACTTTAATGAGCTTCTGATTTGAAACCTTTTGTGCTCTAATCATCCAGTCGCTCTTAGACACTGCACCCTGTCTGCTTGCACCGAATCTAGGAGATTCAACATCAGGGTTTTTTTTTTGTTTCCTATCCTATTAGTTTGTTCTCTGAAAACGTTAAGGGTCAAAGTTTTACTTGAACCTTGTCGCACTGTGTGTTGTGTGCATTCACCCGTTCATCCATTAAAAGAGATTCACTTACTCATGCTAAGGGTCTTGGACATTTACAGCCTGTCCTGGAAGCATAGAGCACAAGGTAAAACTATACTCTGGACAGGGCACCAGTCCATCACAGGACAGGCTTGTTTCTGCATTCCAGATTTAGTTTCCCTGGTTTTCCTGTTTATTGAATCCTTGTCCATAGCTGTTTTAGTCCAGAATTTAGCTTTCAGTAGCCTTAGCATGCTTGATTTATGAAAACATCTAGTATTTGTTTGTATTGAGTATTTGAGTGGCTGTGTTTGGATTGTCATTTTTAGCAGGAGATGTCCTTCTGAAACTAACACATTTGTTTGTGATTAGAATTTACTTTCATTAGGACATATTTGTAGGTACCGCTACATATTAGTTTTTATTTTTCCGCATTTCTTCTTATTTTGTGAGGTGGGTGGAGGGAGGCGGACAGATGAATAACAACGCCAGTTTAGTGTTGATCTTTCATTCTCCTCCATTGTTAAATCACAGCAGCACCTGGTGGCAAGCTGTGTAATTGTTCAAGAAGAGGTCTAAAGAGCACTTTCAGTTTCCAGTTTCACATATTTTTAAATATCAGGGAAATGCTCTATATGTGAAACATATGCACAGTACTTCTGTGTCTATATAATATACACTATATACTTGTAGATTATTCTTGATTTTATTTTTTTCTGAAAATGTGGTAGAGTTGATCACAGCCTGGTAGAGTGGTCTTACACTAATGTCCTCTTAAGAAGCACTGCAATTCCAAAATACACCAAATATAAAATACATGTAGTACTGTAACTGTGAGGCGGGGGGGACTGGCTGCTACGTGTTTAAAAATAAGTACCTTTTATATTTGAAAAAATAATGTGCCATATTTCTATATAACATTTAAAACAAATCTGCTTGTGGGGCTGGTTCTATGCCAGCCATCTGATTTCTTCGATCTGTAAGAAATATGGCACTTGTGTTTCTAGGTACAGATGTCATTTCCAGATGTTTCATTACTTTAATATTTGTTTATGTGTTGTGTTACCCGAGAAAGTCTGTCAGGCCTTGCTTGTATTGGACCACTCACAGAGCTCTCCTTTGCTGTTCGCAGACTCTCGATGTGAAGCTATCCCATGATGCAACATGTGCCTCCAGTGCCAGCACTGACAATGATGGCCACACAGAGTGTCCCTCCACCTTCGTACCAGGAGAGCCAACAGGTAAGTCCCCCCAACTTCAGAATGCAATCTGTAGTGATTAATAACAGAGCCATGATTAATAAGGGCCATACAGGTCCCAGAGAATCACTACTGGTCTGCGATGCCAAGGTAACTGAGCTGCATGACCTCTCTCATATTGAAACTCCTCAACAAGGCAGTCATACAGTATATTTCTCAATGAACTCCTCGTTAGTCCACAGCCATGCGGCTTTTTTCTCGTTTTTCTCGCAGCCGTCATTGATCTCGAAGGTCTTTGGCTTCGGACAGCTCCATTAAACCGAACTGAGATCCAGTGGCTAAAGCGTGGTGCAGCCTTGCACACAGCAGTTGCTGTTAAGTCCTCTCTAAAGGGAAAACACCTTCGAGCAGTGTCATCTACTCAGTTCTCAGGTCTCAGCTTCTGTTATGTCGATTGAAAGAAGAAAAAACAAACGTGTGACTTGAAAAATAGTTACGTGGCACAGCAATGTATATTCAAGTATGATACAGTATAGCCTCCCAGGCCTGTCACTTCAGTATATCAGAGTGGACACACGGGTTCTGTCCAGAGTTTAAGGAAGCAGAGATCTCTTGTCAGCATGTCTCTCCCTGTCTGCAGGCAGACAGCTCATAGTGTACATCTCTTTCCACCTAGGGGATTAGTGCCAGGGGAAGGAATAAGATCCCAGGCCACAGGAGTACAAAGGAATGCAGATGAGAGCTAGTTAAGTGTGAAGAACCTAATTTAGTTCCCGTTTAGAGCTGGGATTAAGACTTGAAGCTTCCTCCTGAGGCGCAGGCAAGGCAGGAGGGGGCTTGTTTCACATAGCTTATCACCAGGGAGAGGAGAGCCCCGAAGTGAGAGTTAAGAATGTATGTTAACAAATGGAGCTCCGGTCTGAAGCTCAAAAACCTCCCTGTCCCTAACCTCAAGCTGTAGTCTGATCTGCTATCAGATCCCTAGCTTGGTATACTGGGACATCCGCTTAACCCTGTGTCCCAGACTTCTAATGAAAATCTCATACATTCGAGATCACTTCTGCACTTCATCTTCCTGCGCTGTTCAGTCCACGTTTGCTTAGCACTAGTCAGTGAACCAGTGCCTATTAGTCTCTTGTTGATCTTTAGCATGCGATCTCAACTGTCCTGTGGGTTTGCAAGATCAATTCTTCATCCCCTCTGTTTAAGTCAAAATACACTTGCTTATCCTGATCCTGAGCTCTGCTCTATCCTAACCACTGGTCTGGTGCATTGCCTTGCTGCTATTGTCAGTTAGATTTTACTACCCAGTATTCCAACATCTTGGATGTTATTAATAAACTTCTCCAGCTCCATTAAGAAAAAACAATAGTGCCTTGACTAATGAATATGCCTGAAAGCTTAATTACTTTAAAACAAAAGATCCCTGTAGCACAAGAGTAAAAGAATTGCATCCTATTTTAATTAGAAGGACATAAATTATGTCGAGACAAAGATAGAGGGGTTTCTGTTTTTAAAAAGCCACTGTTTCAGATTTTTATGTTTTTCCTGTTTGATAATTCTCAACTTGGAGGCTAAAAACCCATGTAGTAAATAAAACAAGTAATACATGTGAATCTTTTAAAAGCCATATTTCTGCTAGCACATAAACACATTTAAAGGCACTGATGTGTCCTATTATTTTTAAACAAATTGTATCTGGATTTCATTGAAACTTGATTTTTGTACCTCAGACTGGAAGAATTCTATACATTTCTTTCTTTTTATGTATTAAGTACCTTTTTTTGTGGTGAATAGCAGTAATTATTTCAACACAGATTACATGCATTCCATTCAATGTTCAATGTATTCAATGTCTTCTAACGTAAGATTTTAAAAAAATCTTCTTAATACTCAAAAGTACTGCAAGAACTTAGGTTCTCCGTGAAAGAAGTCTAAAATCAAATAAATCTTTAGGGAAAGGATACATTTTTTCTGCATAAAAATAACTGTTATTTGTACTATGTATCTTGACAGCTAATTGTAAACTGTAGCTTTAATATAAATTATGTTTTAAAGTGCCAATAGTCTTAGTCCCTAATTGTAAAGTTACACAAAAAACACTTGTTTATTCTTTTCCCAAAAAATCTGCTATTGGGATTCTGAGAATTACCTGTTCTCATCTAAATTGGCAATAAAGAGCCTTAATCCTTGATAGAGCTGATGGGTTACGAGTGTGGAGGCGATGCCAAGAGGAATCAGATAACTGATAACCGCTGGGAGAGCAGGAGAGACAGACGAGAGGAGGCAGTGTGGTGCTCCACTTTATGGAAAATAAAACACTGCTACTAATGGCAGTTATATCACTGGGATACTGGCACTGTATCACTGCTACTATGAGATGTTTAAGAAATATATTAATAGCAGCAGTACTTTGCCACTCTCTGATGTTTGCTCGCACAAAGCACATCATCTTCTAACTTTCTATTGACTTATCCCCACAGTGCTTGGATCTTTCACTGCTGTGAGTGTTAACTCTAACGTATTTACTCTATTGAACCGTAACAATGTTTTTCCTTTTGAATGTCTTTTTGTAATGTCAATCTTTGTATTTTCTTTTTTTTTAATCCGAAATTATCCTCTGCTTTTTGATGTGTCAGAATCTGACGGAGATTTGTTGCATACATCGAAGCAAAGTATGGACTCACTCCATCTGGTGTTTAATATTGAAGTGGTGCTGACGTTTTTGCTTCCAGATGACGGGCACAACTCAGCAGAACTCCAAGGCCCAGCCTGTCCACATCCCAGCATCCTCAGCAGCAGGGGCAGCTGCTGTCAGTGTGACTCTTGACCCTCAAGCCCAGCTGGAGTCAGACAAGCGAGCTGTGTACAGGTATGGGGACAGCTCAGATCTCTGGAATGCTGGGAAACGGGACACTCCAGTTGTCCACACGTTTTTTTTTTTCATTTGATTATTTACTTTTTTTCTTATTTGCTTAGCAGACACCCTTACCCAGGGAGACTTAGTGTCACTACAAAGTGTACGTGATTACAAAGGGGAAGAAATTCAAGTACAATAAAGTGAAATGAATGTTAGTGAAATGTTAGTGCAATGCAGGTGAAGTGCATTCTGAAGTGGTGTTTAGACAGATCATGGAGATCTTGGCTATCTTATTTTCTAAATACAGTTTCAGTTGACTAATGCAGATTTAGGATTATGTCTCTCTTAGTTCTTTATCATGCATCTTTAAATTTAAAAAAAGTTACTTTAAAAACTGAATTATCAGTTCTAGGCGGTGTGAGTTCTGTGTCTCCATGTGAGCTCCTTATCAAAGGCACACTTCCAAACCCCCAAGACAGTCAGAGATGAAGCTCACGATCTTGAAGGTGTGACGGGAGTTTGAATCTGAGATTCAGCCCGAATATCCAGCATTTACACCTCCCCTGAGCCAGGACTGTGCTGCTCGTCTCCCTTTCCAGGGTCTTCCATGGTGGTAATACGTTCTCCAAGTTTTGCCAGGAGTAAGGCATTAACATAAACACTGCAGTGCAACACTTTTAGCTTCCGGTGATTTTTGGCAGTGTATTGCAGTATTATATGCTGCTAGAATTATTATTTACCTTCTCCTGATTTGGGGTGAGACTGCTTTTGAGGAGCCGAACAGAATACATTATTATTATTATTATTATTATTATTATTGTTAAGATGTGATAGCACTGGCTTGCTGGAAGGGTGAACATTACTAAGAAGAAGCTTCCCTGCTAAAAAGCATACATGTTTTACTGTAACAATTTTTTTTGGTGTACAGTACACCTCTTGACAAGTCTAGCCTTGCTGGAAGGCAGTGGATTGAATACTGAATTTGTCTGTCAGCGCTGAACTGGAAGGGTCACACTGACACTCTTGTGCTCTGTGCTCACCAAGCTTCCCTGAATTTTGGGTGCTGTGCTCTGTGATCAGCAGCCTCCTTTGCTTATTCCCGTCTGAGCCCCTCGACTCTCGTGCTCAGCCCTGGAGGCGAATGCTATGAAGGCCTCAACAGGCCTGGGGCTGAATTTATAAGCTCCTCTGAGAATCGGGACTCTCTTTGATGTGATCAGCCAGCCTGAGGGTTGCTGCAGGTGGTGAAAAACACAGACTCAGCCAAGACAGCTCTGCCTCTGCCGATACCTCCCCCTCCTAGATCTGCTCGAAAAGCACACATTGAAGGAAGTTGTGAAACCAATTTTCAAAGATTTTTTTAAAACTTTTTTGCAAAGCACCTCAAAGCTATAAAACTCAGAAGCGCAGAGATACACCAGCACTCTTCTGTCCAAAGCGTGTTCACTGTTTATGAAAGACAACAGATGCACAGCAGTAGGGAAGACTGCACTTTTTAGACCTTACTCTGGAAGCCAACCGGGCACGATGGCTCTTGACAGCAAAGATGAAAATGGTACAAAGCATCGTTTATTTTCATTTCATGTAAAGGATCATGTAAGAGGGCTTTCTATGAGTACCTGAACTGATTTGCTGTGGTAAAAGGTTGCATACATCCCATTGCCCAAAGGTGGTGGAGGTGGGGTTATGTTTAGGTAATCAAGAGCCTCAGTTGAGGCTGTATGTGTTTTAACCACTTGATTTTAAACACAAACTAGACTGCTAGACGGGAAGAAGTTCTTCCACAGCATTTTAAAGTTCGTAGGAGACTGGTGTTTGAATATATTGTTTTTCAGAAAGAGAAGCATTTTTAGCCAGAAATGACAGTAATGATTTCGGGGATGAGCGCGATCCAGTGGTTTGTGTGCGGGCAATCGCGTGCGTGGTTTTTGGAGTGATACAGATACGTGGGGAAGGTACATTAGCCAGCCGTTGGTGGCTGTTAATGCTCCTTTCTGGATACGTGAAAATGCAGGACGAGCGTCGTCTCTTACAGAATAAATAATTGTTGGATGAAATACAGGATCTTCTGGCTAATAAGGGACTGTTGACAACTGTGTTGTAGTTCCTTTGGGTAAATTTAAACTTTAAAGTGATGAATCTTGTAACAGAGTGACCAATAATTTACACACACTACAAACTTTTAGCTTTTTAGGAGATGTACTCCAAGAAATATACAGCACGCCGTGCTATGATAAGATAAAGCATGCCGTAAAAAGCATGATTTTCTGTACTTGTGTGTGAAAACAAGCGTGCAGTAACGTTTGAGGGGACACGGTTAGTATTCATTATTTTCATCTCCCACTGTTGCATTATGTCTGCACTACTTGGGAGCGAAGAGGATAGGACAAAAGCAGTTTTGCACCAGATAAATGTCAGATTAATATACCAGTATGATTTAGACATACATCAGAGCAACTAAGGGAAAATATGATGAGAACAGCACTGTGGCACTGCATCCTGCATTGATTTAGTACCTAGTCTGTGCGTTTATTGTACATTCAGGCACACTGCAGTTATTTTATACATATTACAATTTAGTGTAGACAAAACACATTCTGAATTCACTGAATTTCACTTTTAACATACTGAAGCTATGCATGATGTCTTAATCACCACAACAAGGACTTCTGTATTCAGTAAAATGTAAATATATTGTTTCTCATTAATTACAGCATGGCAGTTGGTTATAAATTGTCCTAAAAAGTGTAGCCAAGTGACAGAGGGAATCCCCCCACAAAAAGTACACAGGCATATTATTATATGAAAATACATTATTATAGACAAAAGTGTTGTGAGTTTATTAGGTTTTTCTTTGAGCATGTACCAGACACAAAAATACCAGTTCATTCAAAAAACAAGTTATTTTAGTTTATTTATTCAAAATCTTCCCATTAAATTTGCTCAAATCTAAAATTGCAGTTTGACATTTCTTAGACGTTTGTTTAGGGTCACTGTATAGTTGGAGCCTAAAATTGTGCAATATCAGCTCTCACTCTAAACAGACACATGTAGCATTTTTTCTCTTGTTTTATGTTGGCTGCATCTGTGATATCAGGTACCAGTAGTATAAATCTAAAACATTTCCCTGTAATAACCATTTTATTTGGTTTTGAATCATAGTACTTTTATTTATTATCACAGCAAATCAGCAGTAGTCTGGACACTGAGATAGTTCTTGTAGCTTTCAAACTACTGCCTATAATATTGTACCAATTACAGTATGAAAAATGCAGCTTAATATTTTGGTGCTTTTGTCATATTTTCCAAAATATGCACTATTTACAGTGTATCTCTGATACGATTTTATTACAAATTGAGGGCACCAACACATACCCATTCATATACTTATTAATTCTTATCAAATATGTATTATTTTTAAAACAAAGCAGATATTTGAGAGTTGAACATTCATGGGCCTTTCCAGAAATTGTCCCCCATAAACATGCCCTGCAATATTTCTGTTGTAGCTCAGGTTATTTTGAAAACCGCAGACAGTGAGATTGCACACCAGTGGCCATGTTTAGCCCCAGCAGAAATTCTCAGGAGGATGGGTGAGGACAGGGGAGCTCATAAAGTATAGATTTAAAGACTCACCATAGATGGTACAAACCTATTGAATGCGCCACAGGAGTGGTTTTAATTTGGCTCTGTATGCAGAAGCAGAGACATCATGGGAGCTACTGTAATGCGCCATAAAGTCTGTTTACATTCACTGCTGTGAAGCCTTCTTGGTAATTCTTTCTGAACACCCTGGGTGTACAAGAACAGCACGCGTCTCATTCTCAGCGAAAGTATTAGTTTCCTTACTTTTAAAAGGCATCATTAGCTTAAAAACGCTTTCCAAAATGCATCTGAAAATGTATTAAGGTCCTGTCAAAACTGGCAAAGTTAAATGACCCTTGAAGATGTGTAATTTTCAAGGCAAAGTGGTTTGGGAATTTGATTTATCACTAATTTACAGCATTCCAAAAACACGCTGCCGGTAGGGTGCTGACTTTTCGCGTCGTACAGACATGGCGCGATATAGTGAGATGAAAAGCAAAGCAAAACAATAGAATCCAAAAGGGGGAAGAGGGCTGGAGTTCGTTATTTCTTTTTTCTGCTGTCAGCATATTTTGTCACATTACATTAAAGCAGGTATAAATTAAAAAAAAAAAGGAGAAAAAGTTTTCAGAAAACAAGCTGTGTTTAGTGTCGGTACTGAGCAAGTAACCCTGTGAAATTGAATGTCTTCTCCATGTAGTGTACTGTAGGTCTGTGGAGAGCTAGCCCAGTAACTGCAGCGTATAACTCGCACTGTTCTGTTTAATAAATGAAGTTGATGTGTTGCTGCGTAATGATCCTGTCACAAAACTAGACTGAATCCCTGCTGTGCTTTAGGTGTATAAGCAGCTGAGGCGGTTCATTGTGGTGCGGTGATGGGTTTAATATTAAATTCTCGGTCTGTGATACATCTCTGTCTCTCTCTGCAGTTTGCTTAGGGTTGGCTGCAGACAAGTAGCCGCAGGGAGAAGCATGTCAGGAACGCCACAGTGGGGATTGTTTTCAACTGTGTATTAATAAAGAGAACAGGAATGCAGCGGGTTTAATTAGGATAGCAAACAGAAGGCAGGGGATGTGAGTTTCCGCAAATTGGGGAGGGCTTCAAAAGAAATAAAAGAAGTCTTTGCTACGTTGTTCTTAATTTTCGTCTGTCAGGTTTATTCGCTTACACCAATGTATTTGCTTACAAACAGTCTGGCATTGATCTTGTGAAATCCACTGAGGAGGCACTTGGATTCCCTTTGTTATGAACTGCGGAGAGTGTGAAACTGAGGAAAGGTTCCGTGCATTCAGAAATAAATCGTATGCTCTGTGTCCTGTGTGTATTAAGGAAGTAAAAACTCTTAAGGATTAAGTTAAATATGAACGACAGAAAGTTTGCATGAACTAGACCGTACACACTGGTATCTTAATGATATGCTCTTCTGTGTGATTGAACAACGTAATGAAAAATAATGACTGTTTTGTGAAGACTTACTCTAGGTATTTAGTTAACATAATTCTTATTTAATTAAAGAACCCATTATGGTCTGTCCGACAAGGGCATCCAAAGATTTTGTCCTTAATCGTGGTCTGCAGCATACAGTAGCTATGGGCTGCTTTATGTAACAAGTCCCTAGACTGTTTTATTAATTTATTATTATATTTTACAAAACTTAAACCTTCACATACTTTTGCTGTCTTGAAAGAGAATGCAAGAAAGTTGAAGACCTTTCCCCTGCTTCTGATTTTATTCTTATCTTTTTCTTTCTGCGTTATTTCTAAATAACGGTAGTGAATAGTAGGTTTTAATTCTTGAAAATGAAAAGGCCTTCTTTCTGTTCTTGCTTCCCTATTCTCTCCTGTATTCTCTTTTTTTTTGGCGACTTTAATGACCCCCCTGTCAGCTGTCCCAGTGCAGTGCAGTGCAGATAACTTGTGTCACCATCATCTCACTTACAGGCTTCAAGAATGGCAAACCACATTTAGGAACACAGTCAGCCTCTTCAAAAACACTCTGAAATGGAGAACCCTTTGATTTTTGTGTGAGCCTACTACAAATATGTTTTTCCTTTCTCAAAATGAACTCTCAAAGTTGACTTAAGTGGATGTTTGGCATGTGTCTGAGTCACAGAAGCTTCACAGCGTCCCCTGTAGACCAACTTTGCCTCAAGAGGAGAATGAGTGCTGTTGAACAATTCCTTGTTAACTTTAAAAAGGCACAGAATTCCTATATAAATAAGATGGCAGGAAGAAATAAAGAAAACACATCTTAAACTTTTGGGTAGACAGTCTTTGTTAGCTCACATGAATTTAATCCAGAACTGGCGTGTTGGCTCATGCTAAGGTCATCGCAGAAATTTGGAAAGGAAAAAAAATATGATCAAATTTGTCTATTTTTTTCCTTTTTTGCTCACCCTTCTCCTGGCTATTTTAATAAAACCATTCATAATGGTGTGGTAGAATTGTGAAATGACCATGGAAAACACTGGGAAAGATTCAAAAGTGTAACTTTTCCTCCTTTTTAGATTCAGAAGGAGCATTTTTCCTCTGCTCCTCGTATCTGTGTCTTTTACGAGCCCTAGCCTGTACCACTTCATTCTCAGCTCTCCAACTCTGAACAGCAGTGCAAGAATTGATATGCGGGGGTCAAGGATAAACAGCATTAAGCTTTTAATTTTCAACGGTTTGGTCCACAAATTTTCAAAGGTTAACAGATTAGCTTCGCCCACAGCCCCCGCACTCTTGTTCTTATCCGCCTGGAAAAATTGCAGGGATTTAAACTGCTGGAGGAGGTCACGGTGGGAGAGAGAGAGACACACACTCAGAGACAGGATGTGAGGATGGGTGCGAACCAAAACACCCTCCCTCACAGAAATATTGCTGGAATTATTTGTTCCTGGTAATTTAGTAACCCCAAAAAGATAAGAGAAGAACGCACACCCAGTCACAGAGCTGCAGTCTAGAGAAGAGGGTGTTTGTCCTGAAAATTGCAGAGATTACAGAGCATGCTTCCACTTGACTCTACTATTTAATTTTGTAACCCAATCACAACTCCTGAAAGGACATGAAAACGTGGGAGAAGGGATACAGGTCAAAGGTGAACACAATTCCTACAAAGGTAAAAAGTGTCTTGGTTTTTTGAAGCCCACAATGCCAACAGATACAGTAAACAATGCACCAAAGGTGCCAGGTGCTTCGTGAATGTTGTCCGTTTTAGGAAACATCACACTTTAAATTAGTCCCACAGTTTTCGCGGAGAGATGGAGAATCTTTGGATTGCTTTTATTTCTGTTTCAGGTCCCACATCTGGGAGGTAATGGAAACACCAGAAATTTAACATCTTGATGTTTTCCCATGCCTTCAATGTAAATCAGTGCTTTGCTTCCCCAGTGAAAGATACAGGACTGCAGAAAGTGTTAACCTGGCTGAGAACAGAAACAAGAAAGGCAAATTAAAAAATCACAATGTCATTTTTTTTTGCTTTTCACCATCCGCAGAAATCCCGGAGGTCCTGTGATGTCCTGTCAGCCCACCAGCCCTAACTGTAGAGCACTGCTGCGAAAATATAGCAGGGTCTGAGGCCAAGGGTCTGTCAAAAGCAACAGATAATCACCCAGGGCCATAGTGTAACTCCCAAATGTGATCCTGTTAAAGCAACTGTCAGAACAGTACAGTCTGAAAAGGTTTTGAGCTCTGTTTCACAGTTTTTAACCCTGAAATTATTCTATTTCCAGGTTAAAAAGACAAAGTTTAGAAATAAATTCCAAGCATTGGAAAGGGACAGGATCAGGTAGCTGCAAAGGCACTTTAAAAACTTGTAAGATGTATTTTGTGAGCTTTTTGTTCCCCCTCCAGACATTCATTTACATCCAGTGAAATGAATGCTTTAGCACCACTGAGACTGCTACATTTTTCAGATGTAACAAGGCATAACCTGGTCAGAATTTAGCAAGTATTTGTTGTCTTCTACTTTTACGGATGCATCTATTTTTCTGAAATGTCTTTGAAACCACTACGACACAGAGAGCACTCCAATCACGCACATCTCCCCGTTTTTGTGTGGCAGTGTAGAAGGAAGGATTCGCACTGCCTCTTCTTAGGAGTTAAAAGAGAAGCAGAGGAATGATGTCCGGGTGAAAGAGATAGTGAGAAAAAAAGAGAGTGAGAGAGAGGGGGATTGAGGGTTCATATATCCTAATCCGTGTGCTGGCGGAGAGGAATCTGCCTTCCTCAGCCCCAGGATGGCCCCTGTGGGACTGCGGATGGCTGTTCGGTGGAGCTCGGCCATTTGGTATTCAGCTCACGGCGACTAAAGGGAGCTGCATTAAATTGGGATCAGGCAGATTAGAGTCTAATATACCCGCCTATTAAAGGCTGCAAATGAGAGCGATGGCTTACAAGCAGAGCCCTGACTGACTCGCTGACTCTGTGTGTCTGTATCGCCACTGAGGGCAGCAGGTTTTTTCTTTCCTTCTCCAAAGAGACAGCCCTACTGCCACAAGAGGTAAAAAAAGATGCCACGAGAATCGTTGTGGTAGGTTTTCACTTTCAGGTTCTTTTCCTCAAAACTCATTTATTCCTCTGGAATTCGTAGGGCGTGTCCTTGGTTGCACTGACTTTTTGCCTGTTCCGAGCTTACAGAAGCATCAGGTGTTATTAATGGTATGCACGGCTGTAGAGGTCGCATCTTTCTGTGCTGCGGAAAAAAGGATGAAATCTCCTGCCCCCCCCATCACCCCCACACAGTTATAAAGTTCACATCACATCCAGTAGTTTTCATTTCTGCCTCTTTAAGTGTTTTACTTGACTTGCAGAAGGTATTTAAACAGTGCAACATGCTTCTTCCTGACCAGGGCGTTCTTCCACACATTCTCCAGGCTGAAATATGATGTCAGAGATGAGGTGCCCAAGACAAGGACGTTTTTCGGAGTTTAGCCCTTCCTGTGAGACCTTGTGTGGAACGTGCCTCTGTCTCTCCCCCTATCTCTGACGCCCCCTCTTGTCTGTCCGCAGACACCCCCTGTTCCCCCTGCTGGCTCTGCTGTTTGAGAAGTGCGAGCAGGCCACGCAGGGCTCCGAGTGCATCACCTCCGCCAGCTTCGACGTCGACATCGAGAACTTCGTCCACCAGCAAGAGCAGGACCACAAGCCGTTCTTCAGCGAGGACCCCGAGCTCGATAACCTGGTCCGTCTTCCACCCGCGCAGAGCTGTCAGTGGTGCTTGGGGTGGGGGGGTTCAGGAGTATCTTCCTGCCACGTCTCGGATGTAGCGGACCCATTTGCACCGGGATAGAAGAACACAGAGCGAGAGGAGGCCGTTCTGCCCCCCCCCCCCCACCACACACACACACACATGCCCCCGCCTGTTAGAACTGTGCTTCCGTTTCCACTGCTGCAGAGCTGCTCAGTGAAGCAAAGTCGATGAGAAACTTCCTGATAGATCCCTGGGTGTGCTAATCCCGTCTAATGTCATCAGCTAGGCAGTCTGGCATAAAGGGGACTGAGAGGCCAGGGGTATTAATTGTTATTAAGGAGCAAACCTCGCTCTCCGACTCCGTCTCTGCCTCCTGCCTCTCCCTCTGCCTTCCTGCCTGCGTGACAGCTGGCTGTAATTAGAAATAAGGGAGGGGGGGGGGAAAAAGGTCAGCGTTCATCATTATGGGCTCGCTCGGCTGGCAAGTGGCACGCAGTCAATTAACTCTGCATCTGTGGGCTTTACGAGGCGCCGGTCACGAGCAGCCCTCACGCACCGTAATTCTTCGGCAGGACAGTTATACTACGCGCCTGGGTGCCGAAAGAGATGGCATCAGGCCCTGATTAAATGAGCTGCGGTAATTGGCAGATTTATCCCCTCCTTGGCGAAGCACTTTTCCGCCTATTCCAGTGCCCTTGAGTGCTGACTTTGAAAGCGCAGTACGGAGGGGAAAAGAAAGGGAAAAAAAAAAACAGAAGATTCCAAAGCAGCTTATGCAACAGATTTGGGAGAATGCGTCTTAGGAATGGACAAGTAGGAGGAACTGAAAAATAATGGGGTCCAGGAGCTAACAGCTAACATGACTGTGATCAACCTGTGAAATCTAGCGACATACAGTAGGTATGGAAAAGGGACAGTGAATGTTTTATTTAAAATATGCATTGTACCTGTATATGTGATACACTTGTTTTTCCATGGAGGAGTGTGAATTTATCTTTGAGATCATGTTTACAGCGCTCCAGAAAAAGGAAAATTCAAAGTCGGGGAAGGTTAAGACTTCTACGATATTAGGGCTGCTTTACAGTATTGACTAGGAGGTTTACTCTTGTCTGTGACTCTCAGCAGTGCATTGTGGAAGTAATGACAAGATGACTGACACCCTCTGTATGTGATTTCCACCGCAAAAGCAAAGGGCAGTGTGTTCAAAGAGCCTTCTGCCCTCCTCTCCAGATGGTGAAAGCAATCCAGGTGCTGCGGATTCACCTGCTGGAGCTGGAGAAGGTGAACGAGCTCTGCAAGGACTTCTGCAACCGCTACATCACCTGCCTCAAGACCAAGATGCACAGCGACAACCTGCTGAGGAACGACTTGGGAGGACCTTACTCGCCCTCGCACACTTCCCTGAACCTCCAGCAGGTCAGTCCCGCCCCCGGAGAGAGGGCGCCGTGTCGGCTTTCTGAAAACAAACCCCTCACAAACTGCTCTGTTTCACTGAAGAGGAAATGGAAAAAAAAAACCTGCATCATGCATCTTGGATCAGTGCTCATCAGATGAGTGCTAAGCAGCTTTCATGTGGACACAGCTGTGTTCTTCACAGACGCAGTACAGTATGTGCCCTTCCTTAGTGTGCCAGGAGAACACAATTCATACAAATGCCACACAAATACAAATACAGATTCATACAAATGAAAGCACAAGATTTATGTAACCCCTAGTCGGGAGGGAGTTCTTCTTTTGATGCAAATCTTCCATGGTCTCCGACAGAACACCAGAACTTCACACTCGTAACGTTGTGAATCCACACCACTGTTTCATGTAAGCACAAGAAAAGTACCTGAGTATACCAATGAAAATAGATTCAGACATGAGAATGGAGGTCAGCTGTTCACAGCAAAGCAACAGACAAAGCAGAAAACGAATCCAGGTTAGAGATATCCGTTCACCAGTATTCTAAACAGTTTCATTGTCTCAAGGACTTGGCTTGCTGTCTTCCTCCAGTTTGTAGCAATAAATCAGTAAAACACATACCAACTCCCTGCTCTTACCTTAGCCTACAAACCAGCAGTACAATTATACGATGTCATAAAAAGCACACCTCCTTGCAGTTTTATGTTTTAACATATTTCGACATACAGAATTTGACTTCCACCTGGTCTTTACCAAGTCCTAGTAGTAGTTAAAACTGACCTCGTGTGACACCTACTGTAAGAAACAAAAATGTTACTTTGTTAATATTTATTTTAAACCTCATCCAGCATTCAATATCTCGGTGTGGAAAAGTAAGTGCTTTACTGTGTGATTTACTAACATGTCGCACCCCCTTCAGCAACAATTACTTGAATTAAACATTTCCTGTAAGAGTTAATCAGTCTTTCACATCTGCCGGAAGGAATTCTAGCTCTGGGGTGTTTGAGGATTGTCACCTTGGGGTTCTTTAAGGCTTCTAGGAGCATCGTATGGTCAGATAATGAAGAGAATTTGGTAGGACGGACACTGTTGGGTTAACTGACAAAGGTCTTGAGTTTTTTCCATTTGCAGATTGCTCTTGTTCTTACTATGGAATGATTGACTCCATGTACTGTTTGGAAATGGCTTTGTAACCCTTCCTAGATGGATTAACAGCAACAATTCTTTATTTAAGACTCTCACAGATGTCTTTTGAGCTGGGTATGATGTATTATCACATAGCTCATGCTTCAGACCAAACTGACCAATGTTTCTGATTTTATATACAGGTTGAAATCACTTCCGGATGATCAACTGATCATTGGCACATGTTTTGGTGACCCTGTTAATTGAGCTGGCAGACGTAAGGATGCACTTACTCACACGAAGATATTGAATGCTGGCTGATATTTTTTTAACAAATAATGTTTCAAAACAGAATGTGTGTTATTTTGACAAATGAGGTTAGTTGTATCTACTGTTAAGGACTAGGTGAAAATCAAATATGTCTAAATATGTTAAACCATAAAATTTTAAAGGGGCGCACTTCCTTTTTCACCCCAATGTATGAATTCATAGCATCTGCCTATATAAATGGGTCCGAAACATCATTATACGGTATATTGTGATATACTGTATTTATGTACACAGATGCATACAGTTATATAGTTTTGTTGTTTTAACTCAGCTTGTTGTGGGAATGTTATAGTGCACGTAGGTGGCTGTGACATTGAGACAGATTTAGATGTGGTTCTTCTGGTCGTGTTCCATCTCTTATCTGCTTTCTGACCCCAGTTCTTCACCACCCAAGCTCTTCACGCTGACCCCTAAGCCTTGATCTCAAGGTGCAGGAAGTACAGCATCACTTTTCAACCTGCCAGTCCCCAGGTCTGCTGGAGTACTGTTCGTGTACAGTACATACAGGAAGAGAGCTCAGGATTGCTAGACAGGCCGGCTCTATCTAGTGTTGCAGGTTCCCCTTTTTACAGGTTTCCAAGGTAACCAGGCACGTATGTCCAGGGCAAGGCCAAACACTGGGTGAATTTGCTGATGCACACTGCAAATCAAACAGGCTGCTTGAACCCAGACACAGACTCTGCGAGGGGCAGGCCTTGTCCTCGAACGCAGTGGGACAGCACGACCGGCTCAGGTCGGTCACGTTTGTCTGATCCGTCTGCAGTTGGTTTTTTGTTTTAAGGCTGGCTAATGTTGGTTTAGAGGCTGCAAGGCCCATTTCTAAATCCTTTAAAATATATGATGCAGTGACAGAACATTAACGCAGTGATAACAGAGTACAAATAGTAGGGCTGCGAACTGAATAACCTTTTAAGGGTTACTTTTTTCGTCCAACGTTTTTAGCAAAACTCAGTGGGTTCTCATCGGTGATTATTACAGGACGTGTATTAATGTATACATCTGCATTCAGAAACTTTGATTGTTTTGCATTTAGAAAGTGTGGATTGCAGCTGCTGAGCTGAAGTGTTACCCCTAGACTGCTCAGCGTAAAAAAAAGCCAGGAATAAATCCTTATATCATCAGGGTAACTGCAGCTGATCGTGAAAATGATGACTTACGTGAAAATGGTCTGCAGCCATTTGGAGGCTGCATGTTGACAGCTAAGAAACAAAATCGCCATCTTCTGTGGGCCACTGAATATCCAAAGTGGAAAAGTGGAGGCAGAGAGCAGTGGAGTGTTTGTTTTTTTTGTCACAGATGAAGGCCATGACAGACCTGAAGGAACGCAACTTGCTTGCAGACATAATTGTGAGTGTTACTGACTGCTGTTTTATTTGTGTCGCCGATGTGGTGGTGGAATTGTAATAAGAATTTCTTTGGAATGAATATTTTCTTTTTAATCACTATTTTTGCGCACATTGATGGCAGATGTACTGCTGAGCGATGCGTCCCTGAGCTAGCAGGTTTAGTTTTTTTTTTCTGTTCTTGAAAGCCGCTCCAGAGGTGTCACTTCTCAATGCAAGGCCAGACAATGCAAGACCGCGTAGTTCTAGGCCTACAATGGCACGACTTCAAGAAAACAATGTCAAGAGATTTCCATGCTCAGCTTTTACTCCTGATCTGATTGGTCTGTGGGACCAGGTGCCTTCGACTGGGGGCAGTCTTCTCTGAGCTGCCTGCAGGTGGACAGGAGGAGTGGCAGAATATCCCACAGCAATCTGGCGTGAGGCTGATCAGGTCTGTGCGTTAGTCCTGCTGGTATTGTGTTAACGCTCACTGAGGTCACACACATTGCCAGCAGCATAATGTGTGCGTTCTGACAGAAAGTCACGTTTCACCCTGAAAACCTCAGAATGCCCTGAGATGTTCATCTGAGTTCCTGTGATTTCACTGTCTGTTTTTGAGATATTTCAGTCCATTAGACCCAAGCTGTTTTCTGTTGTCATCGGTGCAGAAGGGTAGAGCCAGGGTGTGAAAGTGGGAAAAGTGAGAAAAACTAATTGGGAGAAAGAACAGAGCAATTAAAGTATTTGTGACAGACAAAGAGACCAACAGCCAGATAGATAATTTGCCTCCAAGGAGACGGAGAGGAGGGATGGAAGGGGAAAGGGAGAGGGAGAGACGCTGATGAGTCTCGATGCCCCGACAAATTGAGATACACATTTTATTTTTAATCTGTAATTTTCCAGAAAATAACGAGGGGGAAGTTAATGAGATGGAAATCCAGCCTGCCGCCGGCCTGCTTGCCCGCCGCAAGATTTCTTTTTTTTAATCTTTCTTAAGGCCGAGATAATTAGAATGCGAAGCGATAATGAGGATTGAGCTAATTGTTGAAACGTATGGATCGCTTCAAAAGTGAAATGGGGGGCAAAAACTTACTTGGGTTTTTTTTTCCTGAGTGGTCAATTTTTTTTTATTTCCCTGGGCGATTTGCTTCTTTTCTGATCCCCCTGTATTTATATATAGCTGCTTGAGACAGCAGCGTGGCATCTCAATATGTGTCCCCAAATAGCTACTATTATATGTTTGAGGTAACGTGATACAGAAGAGGCTTTTCTCTGCTTTCCATTACCGTGCAGGTCAAGCCTATCCCTTCATCCACCCTGCTGCAGTAAAGCCACTTACTCCTGGCAAGGGTCACACTACGCTGGAGCCTGTCCAAGCACGGGGCACAAGGCAGGACCAGCCATCACACGCACATGGGGACGATATAAAGATACAGTTTTACATGCCTAGCATGTCTTCAGGCAGTGGGAGAAGGCTTAAGTATCCAGAATAACGGAAAAAGTGGACCTGTGGAGAACATGCAGACTCCACAAGGAAGGGATGGCAACAGGGATCTGCTACATTGCTGCTGCAGCTCCAGTCAGCATGGCCCCTTGAACTGTTATTATCGATGCTATTCCAGTTTTTATTTTCACTGTAATAAAAACGAATAAGGAAACTCAAAAGGCAAATGGCTTGTTCCCGTTCCCCGAGCTTTTCATCTGAACCACGTTTCTATAGAATACAAATGCATTTGATCACAAAATATCCGGGCCTCCTCTGCTAAGGAAGAAAACCCCCCTTTTGTGGAAATGGAATGGAATCTAATAGAGCATCCACAGACGAGCAGTCGGCGAAGTGGAGCCCACAGCGAGTGCTTCCGAAAGGGGGGAGGGGTTTCATAAACATTTGTGTGCCATCTTTTGACACCGTCATCTGGGTTTTCTCAAGGGCTGTCTGAAAAAGGGGATCTGAGCCCTCTAGTGGGCTTCTCTCATAGTTTCGGGTGAAAAGGCTAATGACTGCCAGGGCCGAGTGGCTGAGGAGGCGGGCTGTCGTAAACAGTTTGCGACCCCAAATGGCTGGGTAGGATTAGTGCCCCATGCTGGAGGATTGCAATTCAGTTTTTCAAGGTCCTTCAATCTCCTGAAACGCTGTCATGTCTGAGTCACTGAATGTAGTCCAGCTTTTTAACAGCAGGCAGTCTGTAATACTGCTGAAGCATCTCTTCAAAAATACTGAATCAGGGAGGCCTGGGGAGCATTCCTCGTGTTGAGCTGTGATTTGGAGTGAGGTTGTTATTTATTGGCCACTCAGGTTTCATTTTCTGTTTTTCCCCTGCATTTGTTTCATTGTAGGTTTCCAGGTGCTGGGTGTGGGCTTCTCTGCTATTTCAGCTGGGTGTTACAAATTTCTCAATTAATTTTTATTAAAGCGAATGTATCATCACCTTAGGTAACCATGTGTTGGGCTGAAACAAGGAGTTCAAGGACAGATATAAACCCAGTCAGTCGAGTGAAAGACCCTTTGAAGTCAGAAACACATATTGAAGATTTCAGTGTTGAGTGACTCTCTGCTTTAAAGCTGACTTTGGACTAATTAAATGAACCACTAAAAGAGGCAAAGGCATAGTTATGGCCAGCACAGTATCTCACTAGCCACAGTAATGGTTATAAACCTTTTGGCTCCTTTTCTGCTCTCGGATACTAAAATGGGTTTTGAGGATGACGCCTCATTCGCAGTTTCTCTCTTCCTCTCTCCCATATCCCAACTCCTCATAGGACCTGCTGCAGAACTCCGCCCCTTCCATGACAACGGTCTCCAGCTCCGTCAATCCCTCGGGGATTGTGGTCCCAGCCAGCGCTCTGCAGCAGGGCAACGTCGCCATGACAACCATCAACTCACAAGTCGTATCAGGTGGGGGGCCTGTCCCACAGGCAGCAGGACTTAAGTTGCCTGTCTGCCCGTTGTTCTCAAGGGAATGCAGAGGAGCTCTCTAAAAGACATAGATGAGTCCTAAACTATTTAAATATTCCCCCAATGGCCTCATAAATGATGCAAGCCGTTTATGTTAGCTACACTGTTGCCTGTTGCTCCCAGGAATATGGCTGTACAAACCAGATCTGTTCCACATTTGACCACCAAGGTGCTAAAACATTTCCTCGTGGAATCGTTTTCAGATGTCTGGAGCAAGTACCATCGAACAAATCAATGTGCTAAACCATTAACTGAAAGGTACAGTATATAGGGATATGCAATAACAAACTGCCATTGTCAATACATGAGTAACTGCACAGCTTCTGTGGACCTAGAGATAAATAATCCTTACGGCACCTCCAGTCTCAAATAATTGAGTTACCACAGGCTTCGCACATTTGAGGACATCACAATCACTATTGACAGAACTTTTTGTGAAACAAGCGAAAACCAGTAAAGGAGCCGCTAATTTCCCGTTTTATTCAGAAAAAGCCTGAGGGGTAAATAACCGCCATAGATGCAGTTTGGAAACTCTGCGAGTGTTGCAGGATTTCGGGTGGCCCTATTAATCCTGCCTTCCTTCGCAAAGCGCATTCATTCCCGAAACCCGTTTCTCAGCTCGTAGCCCAGGCTGGGTAATGTACCGCTCGAGACAAGGTCAGCCTTCACAGAAACCACCTTCTACACTATTCATATCCCTGGACGGCATTGCACATTTCAGTATGGCAGTGTTGTGCCCAGTTGTTTGTTTGTTTTTTCTCCTCTGGCTCTGTACGTTCTCCTTTCTGACTCTGCCTTCCGTTACTGCTTTGTTTCTTTCAGGGGGGACCTTGTACCAGCCAGTGACCATGGTGACGTCACAAGGGCAGGTGCTCACCCAGGCTCTTCCCCAGGGAACTATCCAAATCCAGAATGCGCAGGTGAGAGGAAGATGAACCTCGCTGGGGAGGGCGGGCATCTTCAAGCCAGCTGCTCCCAGTGTCTGGCGCACCGGGCCAACGCTGTGGAGACCATGACGCCCAAGGCCAGCTGTTTTAAAGAACAAGCCCGTGAAGTTTCACAGCCCCTCAAGTTAGTGCGTTCTGGGAAACAATTGGAAAGGTGCCTTCTAAGCTCCTCCCTTCAAGGGAATTCAAAGGGCTGTGAATTCACCTGCTAGGAAGGAGAAAAAAAAAAGACCCAATGGAAAGTAAAACAAAAGTAAAACTCTTGTATAGATTTACTGTGATCCACCATAGTGAAAGCAGAGTAAAATGCCGTAAAGCACGGTGAAATCATAGTAAAAGACTGGTGAAGCACAGGAATAATGCATGCTGTAAAAGCTGTCTTTCAAACACGATGCCAACAACAGGGAAGCAAAGTAAACTCAGTGTTCAGGGGTTGAAAAACCTGAAAACAACTGCCTAGATATCATGCTGGCCCCTGGGGTTAAACGTTCGGAAGGGAAGACGTAATCACATTTGAAGCCTTCGCTGGGGAAGACGTCCAGCGAGGAGGGGTGCCGGCGCAGAAAGGTTGACCACTTCAACCTACAATTTCAGGGCGGAAAGCAGGGGAGGGGGTGGGAGGGACGCTGTATTAAGCAATCAGCACAGCTGGCAGGTGATCCTGCGTTTGACAGACAGCACTGAGCCTTGCGAGTACCCCGGGACCCAGCCAAGGCTGCGGAATACAAGCGGGCTGGGAATAGGGGCTGTGCCCGCGGCCCTGTCCCTGACAAGGGCCTGGTAATGATACCCCTGCTTCACACTGCCAATTAGCTCAGCCTGCTTCCTGGAACGCTCAATCCCCGCGTTGGGGCGCGGGGAGCAGCATCCACATGACTCGCAGCTGCCATGGTGACGAGGACTTAGTTTTTTATTATTTATTTTCAGCTCAGCGGGGAGCTCTTTTTTAAGACGCCTGTTTGTTCTCCGAATTGAATTAATTTGCGTTGATTTATTTATTTATTTCCCTGTGCGGTGCACTCATGCACTAACTGCAGACGTTTGGTTGTGGCTGCTGAGCTTATTTTTTTTTTTCAAAGGTTTTCTTTCTGTTTTTTTTCTTCATTCGTCCGAGGCACAGTAAGATTCTTATACGTGTGTTTACATAAATATGATATAAAGAGCCTGTGCGAGGCAAATAGTATTCGTGAACAGGACTATCTGTAAAGCTGTCTCTGTATTTATGCATGTGTGGATTTAGGATCTGGTGATTGATTCGATGGTGTTGGAGATATTTTGACTATTTGACCGTTCGTGACTGACTGGGGCACACTGGAGTGACTATGCCTGTTGCATAAGTACTAAATAACTGACCAGACCCAGGTGATTTAACATGCTCAACCAAAATGCCAATAATCACTTATCAAGACAACAACACCTCAGTGCCATCCCTGTGCTGGAGGCTACATCAGCATACTCTACTGTTTCTCACTGTCTGGGGTGACCACAGCCAGAAATATCTACCCATGACATCATTGACACTGTCCATCAATGATTAGCTCATCAGACTAGGTCTCAGACCGACACTCGAAGCCTTTCACACTGTGGCCAGTGCACATTGGGACAAGGCAGCCGAACAGCTGATCAGTAATCAGTTGTAGGCTTGATGACCACACAGGGGTCCAGTACTAACAAGTGTTGATTGATGCAACAGAATAAGGTCATGTGAGCCTCAACACTGGTGGACACAGGAAGCAGTGGAGTCAACTCTTTAGCGATGTCCTGGGTGTTTGTGTAGACCACACTGATGGACATCAGCGTACCGCAGATATGCATTATTGTATGCTAATTGTCGTATTGGAGAGATCAGTTGATGGGGCACTAGTGTGATGGTCTGGGCGGGAGTATCTAGTCTCTCCAGCACTCCTCTAGTAGTGTCCAGTGGCGACTTGCCTAGAAAGCAGCGCTGAGGTCCTGGGACCTCACCTGCTGCCCTTCCTGTGGGCTCATCCTGACATGTCCACTTCCCCGCAGGACAGTGCATGTCCTCATTGTGCTCACCGGACAGGGGCTTCCTCACAAGATTAGGATGTGATTTAAGCCCCATTGAACGGAATGAGCTAGAATGAGATGTGTCATCATCGATTGCCGAAAGAGCCACTAGCAGGGGTCCGCGCATGTCCAGGCTCAATGGCAGCTTGTATTGCTTCAGGCACTGGCCACACGCTCTGCTTAGCCTGGGACTTTCACAGCAGAGCCCCTGTTAATCTGCCCTGTTGGCGACACTTTTTTATTTGCATAAAGCATTTACCTGGGTCATCTCTGCTCCATAAAATGTCAGGGCAGCTGCTACAGGAAACCTTTTCTTTCTTTCTCTTAAGAACCTTGTTATTTTGCAGTTGTCATTAATGTCTCTTTGGTGCTTAATGTGCAGTATATTCAGCTATAAAGGAAATACCCATAATGTGCATGCTTTTCAGATATACCAGAATGTTCCAGGTGAATTGTCCTTTTCTTTAAACATTTACTATAAACATAAAGTTTATATAAACATTAAGGCCTGAGATTCCAGTAAGACCTTTGTGCCAAATACATACAAATATTGTCTTAGCGGCTTTGATACACACGCACACAAATTAAATTCCACTGTGAATTACATATTTTATCAAACATCATAGGTGCTTTTTAAGAAATGCATGAATGCAGTATTTTAATTCAATATTCTGCCCACAAAAAAACAAACAAAAAAAAAACAGTTGTCTCTACACACTGTGACACTTTTCCTCTGTTCTGTACATTTCAGGGCATGAACTGGCAGTCTTGTGAAAACCCTAGTCAGTTATGCTAAAGGCTTTGAAAAGAATTTTATGGGACCTTATAGGATCTCTGTAATTGGCAAAGCATTGGGGCAGGTTTGATCGACCTGTTCCCTGCTGGGATAATCCATCTCTGGATTTTATTACTGCAGTGCTGCGGAATCCCTCTGGATAGCAACCTGCATCTACCTTTGAAGACCCAGGGAAAAGGTGGTAAAAATAGGCTCTTCACAAATTCCTGGGGAATACTCCGGGACCTTATAATGCTCAAAGAAAAACAAGCTAGCTTATCCCAGCAGGGTTTGTACACTGCTCGTAAAATCAGTCCTTTATATTCCTCGTTAAAATAGATCAGTCTGAACGTCTGGAAACGGAAATAGATTAAAACCAAGCATTTGAAAACTGCTAGCTAACCTTTGATCTGACACAGAGTTGATCAACTCCCCCCCCCCCAAAAAAAGCCTAGCAACACCGTGACGAATCCGAATGTATACATACCGTAGTAAAGACCGGAAGGGTTTGGAGCCGTTTGTGCTATTCTTAGGCAGCCACAGCAAACAAACTTGGATTCACGGGGAAAAAAAGAGAAGTTGTTATTGCTTGAAACTGGCAGTACGCCATGCAGTTTGTTTCTTTTGTAGGTGTTCCAAAACCATAGAGTTGTTCTTGTTTTTATTTTTGAAGCTCTTGCAGCAGTGGGAAAGGTGTGTTGCTATGGCGATAGAAGGCCGCGTTGCCCGAGAAAAGAAAAGCCGCCTCATTTTTGTGCTGGAAGGTCCTTGTCGCCATGGCAATGCTGACTTACCTCCCCCCCCATCCACCCACCCCCCTTGTCGTGTCCCCCTCCAAGGTGAACCTGGACCTTTCGTCCCTCCTGGACAACGACGATAAGAAGTCGAAGAACAAGCGAGGGGTCCTTCCGAAGCACGCCACCAACATCATGCGGTCATGGCTCTTTCAGCACCTCATGGTGAGGGCGGGCAGGGGGCTGGGGGAGCGGGAGTTTGAGAGAGTCTTTCCCCGGGTTGGTGGAGTCTGAGGGGGAGAAGCAACGGCAGGCGATTAGACAGCAAAAAGTGCCCCGATGTTGTTCACAAGCTTCTTAAGTGAACCCCCATGTGCTGTAAGAACAACAGAGAGCTTACAAACAGGAGCAGGCCGTTCAGCTCGCCTGACCCACGAGGTGGGTAGTGGCTGGTTGATCTGAGGATCTCAAGCAGCCTTTTTTCTTTGAAAGAAACCGGGGTATTGCCTTTGACGGCGTGGCTGAAAGGCTTGTTTCAGTCTCCCACAACCCCTTCGTTTCAAGAGTGCCCGTTTCCACGTCTCTTCCAGTTCACATCACAGTTGGCGCGTGTTACAGGAGGATAATGTAAGTGATATAAATGGCACCAAAGAAGTACTACAGTACAGTATGTAGTTTTGTAACTGTTTTTGTTTTCTTTAGCTATTGAAGAAAAGCTTGGTGTTTAGTTTACTGTTGAATTTATTCACTATTAAGTTAAACATTTTAATGTTAGAGTCAGCATGGCTAAAGAGTTTAAGGTATTTTTATGTAGCCCTTTCCTGTGCTTAATAAAAGAAAACATACATAGTCTACTACAAACATATGCTTTTTGGACCTTTTAAAGGTCATTTTTAATTTTTATTTTTTTTTTATAACTTCCAAAATGTGTTTAGGCTGTTTTCTCCCCTGTGGAGAAACTGGGCGGATTGCCCATCTCATTCATTTACTTATGGAGTGGGAAATATGCCCTCACAGGGCACGCAAAGTCCTTTTGCTTTTTGGTTCTCACAACAGCACAACTGGGAGAGAGAAATATCCCAGCCATCCATTTCCTTACCACTTTATCCCATGCTGGTGAGCCTATCCTGGCAAGCACCAGGCACAGAACACCCTGAACACCACTGCAGGGCAGGGCGCACACAGACACCAACACAGACACGCATGGCAGGGCCATTCTCCCCAGAAGCCAATTACCCTCCCGGTATGTTTTTGGACTGTGGGAGGAAACTGGAGGAAACAGGGAGGAAAGAAACTCACGTGAACAGGGGCAGAACATGCAAACTCCACGCAGACAGTAGTCTGGGAATTGAACCCAGGGCCCCAGCACTACGAGGCAGCAATGCTGACTGAAGTGCATCGGTGCCGGCCGAGAATAATATTACAAACAGCATAGTGGGAAATGTCCAATGGAAATGAGGGAGAATTTAGGAAGACTAACTTTTGGTTTCTTCCCAAAAAGATGGAGAAGATGAACCAATGTTACTTGGGAGGTTCACTGAGCGAACAAGCAGCAGATTTATTCCTCTTTCATCCCTCTGCAGCACCCTTACCCCACAGAGGACGAGAAGCGACAGATCGCAGCACAAACCAATCTAACCTTACTGCAGGTCAACAACTGGTAAGTAAATCGGTTTCGTATGATTTTAAATACCAGTAAACACTGGTGGAGTTGCTCTGTTTGTGGTAGTATATAAAGATATTTTAATTGCATGCCAGGTACCTGGTAGTCTTATCAAAGACCAGACTCCTGGTCAGTGCTGGGATGAGAGACCTTCAGGTTAAACCAGGTTGTCGCGGTCGGCATTGGCAGGCCAGTGGATGGCGCTATTCCATCTGGACCACAGTTTCCAGAAATCAGCTGCCCCAGTATGGTCACCGTGCACACTGAACTGTAGGAGGCGCCACCCCTCTGAGTAATTAAACCAGTGTCCTGACTCTTCTCTTCAGTCGCCCTAAATAGAACATTTTAGCAGATTTAAATCTGGTGGATTTGCACTTGTAAATTCATTTGCAGTGTAAAGTGAACTAGGCTTAAGACCAACCTGAGTTTATGGGTGGTGTAGCAGCCCCCAGTTTATAATTTTATTACTGGGCTTTCCAAATTCGAGCACTATGTGTTTGGATGGATGAAAAGTCTGAGAGACCTATGGAAGTTTCCTTGGTGAAGCCCACATAGAGTCCAAGACACATTTTTGGCAGGGCTAGGCTGCCAGAATCACAATGTTTTGCAATGTATTACAGCAGCTAGAATAAGGCAAATCCAAAAACATCAATCCTAAAACAAGCATTTCTACCACTATTACAATTATATGTTTCCTAAAATAGTACATACATGTAGTTTTATTATGTGTGAATATTGAATAGATTCATATTTGGTGAGTTCTGGATAAAAGTGTATGGCCATGCTGGTATTGTAATGTTGATTGTACTGTTGATGTTTGTTCTTATTTAGTTATTAGTCTGTGTTGATGTTAATCACATAAGTAGGTTGAAAAACCTCTTTGTAAGCACGCCAGTGGGACAAATGGAAAGGTTTTCATAGCTTAAAAAAATTATAGTACCTCACAACACTATAAATGGCAGTTCAAGTAGCTGTGTTGGCACAGTTGAACTTTTCTGTTTCCATTCAGAGACTTTGGGCTCCATCTGCTGGTGAATTAAATTTCTGACCATTATTGTGTCTCCTTGCTTACTGCTCATACACTTTCTTAAACTACAATAACCCAGTCATTGGCTTTAATCAAGGTAGTGATTACCGTAAGCAGAGGAAGTCAAGTGACCTCTGTTGGCTCCCCAGAGGTCATGTGACCTTTGCACGTGCCGCGTCCCAGGGGTCGCGTGACCTCTGTTGTGTCAATAAAAATGAAAAAACAATCCTTCAAATGCTGAGTCTTAAAAAAATTAAACACCACACAAAACACTGCAGATGTAGGGCACTAGCCACTGCACTGATGCAGTCAGGAAGACCACTGATTCACTGGCACTTGGAGAATCAGTCAGAAACAGCAAACCCAGCACGATACCCAGTACAGAGAAGTGATTCCCGAGCATTTCCAAAACCATCACTTTTAGCTTCTGAGACAGACTCCTGACTGTCTTTTTAAGGGGAAGCGGGGACAAAATTTCTCCAACCAACAGAGGCAAAAAAAAACAAAACAGGTATTCCTGCTGGTGAGCTTGAGAGGCGTGAAAGAAGCCGCACGAAGAGAGCGCCCCTGTCTGTTCTGTGGGTGTCCTGTCGAGCCCATCCCGTGTCCTCTGTGCCGGCAGGTTCATCAACGCCCGGAGACGGATCCTGCAGCCCATGCTGGATGCCAGCAACCCTGACCCGGCTCCCAAGGCCAAGAAGATGAAGTCCCAGCACAGGCCCACGCAGCGCTTCTGGCCGGACTCCATCGTGGCCGGGGTCCTCCAGCCACACGGGGCGCACTCCGCCAACAGCACCGATGGTAAAGGACGCGGCGGGGCCTGAGCAGTCCTGTGGGTTTTTCCCATGGTCCTGCGCGAGCTTCCCACATGATCCCCATGCATTCCCAAGGCCTGACTCCAGTTATTGCACCTCGTACGGTTCCCTTTCATGCTTTAGAGTAAGACGAGAAAGTAAGCATTCAGTATTCAATTTAGTTATACAATATTTAGTTTCTATACTATTTAGTATTATTCATTTCGTTCGTACAAGATTTAATAACACACAGACACAGACACACACCAGGGCTAGTCCTTCCATAAGAAAATGTGTGTGTTTGGACCGTGGGAGGAAACCAGAGCACCCAGAGGAAATCCACACGGACCCAGGGAGAACATGCAGACTCCACACAGACAGCACCCCAGGGCCAGGACTGAGACAGGGGCCCCAGAGCTGCAGGGCATCAGTGCTGACCCTTGAGCCACCATGCTGCCCTAAACCCTTGTCTATAACAGCTAAACCTGTGTGTTCTTTTCTTCTAGATTTCAGTGCAGCTCATGTGTTTTTCTGTGCCCCAGGCTCCCTGGCCATGGACAGCCTGCAGCCCCTGTCCTCGGACTCGGCCACGCTGGCCATGCAGCAGGCCATGCTGGGGGGCGGCGGGGAGGACTCCCTGGACGGCACGGAAGAGGAGGAGGAGGAGGAGGAGGAGGAGGAGGAGGAGGAAGAGGAGGAGATGGAGGAGGAGGAAGGGGAGGGAGGCAGGCAGCTGCACACCACCAGCGTGGGAGACCTGGGCTTGGAGCACAGCGAGGCCCTGGAGTGAAGCACCCCTCCGCACATCCCCGCGGCCGTGCCCGCGGCCACAGCACTCTCGTCTCACTGAGCAAACCGCACCGGGCCAGTGGCCAGCCTCGGGACTGGCGCAGCTTCTCAGCAACACAAAAAAAGAAACTACGCAAACCTGAGACTCACATTTGCAAGTGTAAAGGGATGCATGTCTGGAATGCTAATCATTTTCTGTACGCCCCCCCCAAGAAAGACTTACCGTGTGTTGATATGCCCTCTGTGATGATGGTAACACGAAGATGAACATAAACATCTTTTCAGTTTAACAGCCATTATGGCAGAAGAAATTCCATATTCCGATTAAACATAACCTTCATTATAGATATTGAACCCTAAAATCATGTTTTTTTTAATGAATTTACCACATATATGAGCCACTGTTTACATTTTTCCAAATAGATATACTGTAGATAAACCTGTTTTTTTTTTTTAATATATGTCGGTTCTCTGGATCATAATGTCAAGATTAATTCATTAATCTCAGGTTAACTTCTGAGCTTGGGTATTAATCCTTCGAGGGCATTTCAGACACATGGATTCACACATTGCACAAATCCCAGGGGCTGTTATGCTCACGGCACGACTGATCACCATTTTAGCGTTATCCTCAACGAATTTCAAATGCATAACGAAAAAGAAAAAAAAAAACATGCCCCTTTGAGCTTCTGGTTCGGGTTAGGGTTTGGTCTTCAAGAGGCATAATCTCCACGGATATTCTCACACTGCTTTTATTTTTTATGAAGAATCACGGAGGCCAAGGCCCTTTTTTTAAAAAAAAACCTCATGGATTGGGAAACAAAATATTCTTCAAACAAATCACACATCACTAGAAAACCCATAGAAGCCACTAGGAGTGCGGGCTGCTTTTCTGCTGGTGTCCTGCGAATCGTCGAGTAAATCTCAAGTCAAGAAGCCACGCAGATCAAGTGAACCCAAGAGCAAGATTTTTTTTTTAAAAGTTATTTTTCCCCTTTCTTCCCCTCGCCCCTGAACAACCTTCTTCTCCTGTTTCAAGCTCTTCATTAGCTTGTTTTTAAAAAGTGAATACGGCACAAGAAGCTTTTGGTCTGCACTTTTGTCTGCAGCGGTGAACAAGAAACAGACAATGAAAACACAGCACTACTGCTTCCTCCTGCAGAACAAGGACATCCAAATTTGCTGGATAACATTTAAAAAGACATTTAAATAGGATTTTTTTTTAAAAGGGATTGTATTGACGGACGTGCAGTACTGTAACAAGGGATGTGAAAACTGACAAATCTGAACCGAAAGTCACAGACATTGAAATGTTTCTCCTTGTTCACACTGAGGATTTACAAACTGTGAAGGACATTTTTGCCTTTTTTTGTGCAACACGAACAAATATTGTGTTTTTCTTTTATAAAAAAAAATATTCTCCGTTCTTGAATGTTCATGGAACTGTTCATTGTGAAGTCTGTTTCTCATTACTGTTTTATTTATCTTTTCGCTTGCTCTCCCTTTCTTCTGTCAGGTCGAAAAATGGAGAAACTCCATTTTTATTTTGTTTGTACACATTGCTGACATAATCTATGGTGTTTCAATAGAATGTTTTTAATAATTAAAAACAAAGTTGGACCTATTAGTTTAAAGTTTTTTTTCTCAAGTTACCTAAACAGACTATACTTTACCAAATGACAAATGTCTGATGTTGTGCCCCATGGCTAGTTTGCTTTATGTGCTTCAGACCAAGAAATAAATTGCCATCTCCTACTGCCCTTAAAGGACTGAGTAAATGTACAAGCAAAGCACTGTGTATTATACATACATAACATAATACAGATAGAAGAGTGAAGAATGATTTAATGTGGCTACACATGCAACCCTTCAGTAGCACAGGACCCTGCTTAAAATGTCTTTAATACTCAAGCTTGTCCTGCTTTCTGTTCTATTGCTGTATGACCTGCTGGCAGCCTGAGTTAAGGAGAACACGGTTGTGCAGGCACAACAACGCAGTTTAATGGCAGCAAAATATCTGCAGCTTCATTAAGGATGGAAACTTCCTAGATCTATTTAAACTAGACTGTTACTGAGCACTGCCCACACTGTGGACCAGATGCTGTGATATTTAATAATGCTGTTGAAATAAAAAAAAACACAAGAAGAGGTCATTTTGCATTTCAGGGCCTTTTCTGGCTCCTAGAAGCTTGTTGAGTCCTCAACTTCATCTAGCCAGCTCTTGGATAATCCATACAGGTCAAGGGTCACAATGCATGTCTTTAATCATGTAGATCTTTAGTACAGTATCCATGATCTGCAGTGTTTTCACTCCATTACAAGCAAATAGTGAAACAAAAGACAAATTCATAAACCACTATAGTATAGGAACTTAACCTCTACAACAAGGATTAACAGTACTGCTGTGGTGTAATGTGACTCTCCAGTGATGGGTATTGTTTTTTGGGGGGACTACCTGTTGTTGCACATTGGCAGTTTAAAGAACATTTGATAAAAGGCAAGATATAAACATCAAGGTGACATCAGGTGATGTGAGGCGATGCTCATAGCTCATTTCAGGTTGAACCACACACAGATGGAAGTTCTTGTGCTCACTTTACCAGTAAAAAAAGCAAGTCGAGGAACGAAGTTCACTTTACTTTTTGTTTAGCCAGACTTGCTAGGTGCGGCCTTTAATTTAAAGAGATATGGATGTGTAAAACAACCGTAAAGCCACTAAATGAAGGCAGTGAAGAGCGTGTTCAAACATGTTCAGCCTGTCCTGAATAGAAATAAATATGTTTCATTCAGAAACATTTACGTGAGATGAGATCATTTTGTTCACAGTGCCTGGCAACATAGCGCATTCAGAGAGCACAAGGCCCGTGTCAAAGGGTTTTACCTCACTGCATTTACTGTTCATTTTCTAGATGTTAAAATAATGCAATGGCAGGGCTTCTTCATACTAAACTGTGTTCAAGGAGTCAAGTAGCAATCCCAGTACTCAGGACACCATGGAATCAAAGAATCACTTTTGACATCTTATCAGGAAGTGCCACTGTCTAAGCAGTGGGTTTCCCCTGCATGCTCATGGGAATCTAAGCGGTGATATTCTCACATTTCTCTATCTGCTCCTTCACCTGTTTTCCGTCCTGGGACACTTGTCCGTGTGCATGACTTTATCCAAGCAAGCTGCTCCAGCCCGGCCTCCTTGGACCTCTGGAGATACAGCAGCCTCCTCGCCGGAGTGGCTGAGCTGCCCCCCCTTCTTCCTCAGCCTGTCCTGGTCACACCCGGCCTCCACCCTCGGTCCTGCCGCCGGCACCCACCCCTTCCCCGTTCACCCGTTCCTGGGAATGAGAAAGAAAATGAGGAGAGGCAAGTCTCCCCGCCGCTACGTTCTTCCTGCTGACCTCCGTCTCCCTGTCCAGCCACGCTAGTTTGCTCTCCGCTCCGCCGGCAGCTGAATCCGCCGTAAGTCCCGCTTCTCTTTTCCCCTTCGCTTCCGGGCGTCCTCTCCGCTAGCCGTAGACCCCAGCGACGTCTCATCTGGCCTCGTTCCCTCCCGCGCGTCCATCCTCTGTCCACAGGAGCCCACTCGGCTGCTGAAGGGTGCGCTGTGCCCAGGTGGGCCCCAGCTCCGTCTGCGCTGAGTCTGGGCTCTTCTCTCACACTCCTCGCCACCTCTGGGTCTTTCTCAACACCAGCACTGACCCCTGCTTGGATAGGCGCGTCATTGCTCCAGCTGCGCCCTCACTTAGCTTCTCGGCCAATTCTTCATCTGTAACATCTCGACAGCACCACCACCGTCTTCGCGTTTCTAGAATGGTAAACCTCTCACTTTACACGGGCCCTGGTCCTTCCACCCTCTTGAGTGGAAAATCGCTTGCAGGTCCAGTATGTCAGAGTCCTCTGCAGTGTTTTACACACTTTACCCTTTCAGCACTGCAGACTCTGTCCTTATCCACTCAGGCATACATCTGCAGTGCACATTCAAATACGAGCTCTTTAAATCTCTGCCTATGAAAACTTTTTTCCAGATATCTCACCTGAACTTTCATGCAGATCACTGTTCTCCAGTGCAGTCCTAGTCCTGGAGGACCACAGACTGACTGGTTTTAATTCTAGCTGAGCTCAAGCACCTATTTGAACACTCAATTGAACTACGTTGCCTGAATTGGAATATTTGCATTTCTTTTTCGGGGATTTTATATCGCTCGTGAAATTCAGCTGTTAAGAGGTAGACTCCAACATGTTTTAGAGCTGAAAACCAATCAAACAGTTCAAATCAGTCCTATTATTGAGGTCAGCTTGGGGTTTGGATCAGGAACTGAGAGCTTGTCTCGAACAGAAACCAGAAGGACTGGGCACTACATGCTTTCCACAAGTCAGTCTCTGCAAACAGTCCTCCAGCACCAAACTCTTAAATAAAAAAAACTCGAAATAAATAAATTAATAGATTATGTGATTTTTTAAAATAATATTTATTATAGATTAATGTGATTATCTCTTGTTATGGATTCATTGTATTGCTGCCTCAGTCCTTGCATGTTTGAAATATTCACTTAGCAAAGTAATGTTGGATTGGTTAAAAATGATATTTTTGGCATAAGAATAGAATCTAGATATCTGCACCACTAGTAATGATTGAATGTATTAATAAATTTTAAAGTTTTAATACCAATATTTAAGAGCGATATTTGTACAATATTGTTTTAGAATATTCAGTATGTTCATTTAATTTTTTCCCATTTTTGCTGTCTGTTTTCTTTGGCGAGATACCCAGTTCAGACAAAAATGAAGGACATTTTAAAAAGATGTGATTAAAACAAGACGGTCATCAAAGAGACCACTTCTTGGCGTCGACGCCCCACAAATCACAATTACAGATGCAGCTTAACCTCTGTGGCTTTCTTCAGTTTTTAACATTGCAGAACAGGCTCATGAAACTGTTACGAGCAGCCCATCTTCCTCTCTGATCTTCACCTCCTCAAGTCTCATTAAAGCTTCCTGTGCCCCTTCACAGGGATCTGTACTCTTTCATGCTCTGTACTACTGTACTTATTAAGCTTCACTGCACAATTCAACAACAGACTCTGACATGTCCATGGAACCTCAAGAGTCTTTGTATATGCGCAGTCATTAACACAATCATCATTAATCATTCATGTCTTTTCGTGTGCTGAGCTCTTCCTCGTCACCTTTTTTGCAAGCAGTGCTAAAGAAATTCTGCACCGCAGTGGAATTTTCAAAGTCAGGGCCATCCAAAACTGGTCTTTGACTGCCGTGGTCTGTCTTATTTTTGTTGTTTGCAGCTCATCCCTTGATTACATAATAGTTTGAAAATACAACCAAACTAGATATGGAGTAGTTGCTGATTTAAGGAAACTAAATAGCCCTGTTGGTTTCTTCAGGTCTGCATGCTGGATAGTCTCTTCTTAGCAAGTAACTGATCTACTGCTTTTAAAACCTTGTGTTCCACAGCCTTGACTGCATAACTGTCATCAAATGAAGAAGCCAGTGCAACTCTCACTGTCTCCCAAGTCACAGAAGTTGCTGTTAGGTGTCTGCGATTACCTGGCTGGCTCAAACCTACTCAAGCCCAGTGCTGCTCAGCCTGCTGTAGGCTCTGTGCTGCCGTTTGGCTTCTTGAAACTTGGGCATCCTGGTCTCAACACACTGATTCAGTGCCCAGACTTGAACTAGTGATGCAGAGCCTGTGCTTTTAACAAAACGCCTTTGCTAATTATGCGATCTGGGAGGCCGAGGCGTTTTGGGAAGATTGTGTCACCTCTTCCCCGTCCGTGAGGTCTTGCCCTAATCAAGCGGTATCGCCCTTGATTTCCAGGGTTGCTGTGGTGAAGGCCAGGGAATGGCACCAGGCTTTAAAAGGGTGGAGATGCTCAGACAGGCAGTAGTGTGGGTCTTGAACCAACGCGCAGCGCAGCAGCACCGAAATAGCTGCGGCGGGGCCCTGCTGTAATCGGCCAAGCAAATCTCAGCACCAGGTTTGCCCGAGGCCCGGGCCACAGTTTATAAATAGGAGCCTGGATTACAGACCCCAGAAAAGCCACAGGTCCCCCCCCTGCTGTTTGAAGTGGGTGGGTGTTGCTACACTGATGAGCCGCGTTCAGGCCCTGGTCCACTCGCGTGCCTGTGTCCCCCTAGTCCCTGCGCTGTCTGTCTCAGATCAGGCAGGCTGTTATTATTCTCGGTCCCTGCCCAAAACGGCCTGTCATTTCGGAGGCACTTCCCCGTGGTACTTAAAGGTCTCGCCAGTAGCGCTCTCGTCTTCACTGCCTCTCTGCTGACTGGACTGAGGTTCTGCAGTTGCTGCTGTAAGCCAGGACGTCTCAAGGTACCTTCGGCGCTTGAACACCTTTACCTGTCGCACGCCAGCGGGGTCCCTGCTCACACCAGGACTAATCCTACCCACTCGCACCAGGGCCAACGGTCTCTTTCGATGAGCCTTTCATAAGCCAGCCGCTTCATTTTCAATCGGGCGTGTGTATAAAAACGGATAATTCTCAGAAACCGTAGGTTTTTTTCTTTGAAAAAGGATTGCAGCGCTGGCTGCATGTTGTTGGCAATTGCATGCAGTGTTGCTTCAAACTGTGTGAATGCGAAACAAAACAACAGATATTCATGGTATTATAAGCCTATTTGTGAAAGTGGGGAATGAGGCGTTGAACCTGATGAATCTACTGTATATACAGGAGAGGCTTTTATCTGACAAGGTTTCAGTTGTACGGTAGATTCCCAAGGCAGATGTGGAGATTTCTAGACATACAATCTGTGGTCACGTCTTTGCTTTAATCCTTCGTTCTCATGGTCACCTCTCTTGCTTCCGATTTTATTTGTGTTCACATACTGTGTAAGTATCTTTTAGAGAATATAGTCTGTATTTTTAGTTTATGTGAATGTATTACTCATGATAATGGAATCTGTGTTTGACGAGTTTTCTGAAAATTCTAAAATACACAGAATGCCTCCTTTGTTTACAATCCTTGTATTTCAATTGGCTTTTAAATGTATGAATGTATTTATATTTGTAACTGTGCAAACACAACAAATGCATCTCCCATAATTCTACAGTATTAGCCCTTACTGTCAATGGTAAGTGTCATCATAAAGTTGAAGCATAGATTGGGTGATGATTTGTGTTATTTTCTTTAAATGTAAGTGTTTTAAAATCAAATTAAGTGTAGTCAGAAATTTCGAATATCAGTAAGTAGCTTACTTAATATTTTAGGAAGGAGAAAATTAAGCCAAGATCCAAAAATAGTCAATTTAATTTGCATTCAAACAAAGTAATAAACTTGGTACAAAGCCACAAGGTATCTTAATTACTTATTAGGAGTAGCTAATCTAAAAATTAAAATATGCCTTTTGTCCAGTGTTAGTTCACACCATGTGCATGCCAGTTCCATCCACACCCTGGTAGTCGAGATATTTTCAAATAATGACTTTTAAGGTTGACATGGGACCCTCAAGAAACTTTTTTTCCGCATTGTTTACTGAGCTCAATTTTAGGAGCCTCCCATTAAAAAAAACAACATATTACACGAGAAGCAAGAGCAGTTTGAACATGAAATGTTTTCCATTAGGTTCGGCAGTATTTGGGACCAGCCCTGTGTTTCAGGTAAGACTGCTCTCATCCAGGGGCTTGAGCATTCCCCCTGACCCACGGGTCGGTAGGCGTGAGTCGTGGAGATCGCTCTAACCAGGGAAGGTTATGGAAATCTCCCACCAGGAGAAGTCTATTCATTTGACGCTGGTCAGTGAGTGAATTAACAGAGGTTAGCACTCTATCACTATCTAGGAAACAGAATATCATGCAGTAAGTGATGTAACAAGGTTACTATATGAGTGCAACCTTTTTAATCGCACTACACTGCAGGACTTCACACCATCAGGGCAGCCTTCATTACCAAACCCACAGCCAACTAGCACGGCAGTATGGGCATTCTGGGAAGGTAGGACTAGTCTGGACAGGCTGGCGAGAGCAGCACAGGTCAATAACCAGGAAAGCTTTTCTTTTGCTTGCAGGTATTATTTCGGGTTACACAATCCTCTCTGAACGGGTCTTTCAGGGCAATGTGTTAGCAAGGGGGGTTAGGTCCTGGGTTCAACTCCACCTTTGGAGGATGCAATCTGTGTGGAGTCTTCGTGTTCCCCACGGAGCCCAACACTTTGGCCCTGGCTCGCCTCTGCCATGTGGGGGCGTAAAAGCGGTTCCTTCTCTCGGTCTCACGGGCTCCCTCCTCTCCCTCCCCGCAGGCCATCCCACCTGCCGCCAAGATGTCCATCGCCAACGCGGCGGCGCAGGCCATGCTCTCCGACTCCCTGGTCATGGAGGGGGGCGCGGACTCCCGGCTACGGGCCCTGGCCCTGGAGCTGCCCCTGGACCGCGTCATCAAGTTCGTGTCGGTGGGGCTGCCCCTCCTGCTGGTGTCCATGGCCTTCGCCCGCGAGATCTCCACAGGTCAGCGGGCCCTCCCGTGTCGGCCGCTCCGCTCGCGTTGACCTCAGGGCGGTCAGACCACGCTCGGCCGGCTCGTAAACACTCTCGTGAAAAAATACTTCTCTTTGGAAACCCCTTCTGCAACTTTCAGAGGACGGCGGACAGCTAAGCCTGTGCTGACTTGTATCGGAGCTGACCCGGAGGTTCATTACCGCTGGTTCTCGGTGGGCAGGAATCATGGGTGGCACAGGGGCCCGTCAGCTTCATCGCCTGTGTGCCGTTCACCTACAGTGCAGCCATGCGAATTAGGATGTTGCATAACTGGAACAGTACTGGCTAATTCATTGGAAAACTTTAAACTGACCCTTTAAAGTGGCACCCTCAGCAATTCAGAAACCAAGGCCCAGTCTACTGCCCTTGTACTTGTTTATATATAACAGGCTCCGTCTGGTCAGAAATCACTAGCTTCCCTTCAGAGCTTTCTAATGGGTAGCAGCTTTGGGAAATGCTAACATGCTACATAAGCATGTCTTCAGAAGAATAACGCTGTTTTGTATTTAAGTCCACTTCACTTAAAGGTTTTTTGTTTTTTTTTCCAGGAGACCTTTTCCAGTCCAAAGGCAGTAATTCAATTCATACAGTGACCAAATTATTTAAAGAAACTGGTAAAAAATAATCAGCAAAACATCCACTGCAAGTTAATTGCACTGTATGAAAAAGCCTCCCTTCTATCTTTACAATATTGGTGACTAGATGGAAGAATCATTTGGATTTTTCATTGCTGAATTCATATGAGGCTAATCGTAATTGGAGCTGCTCTTATCCCAGTTCACACATCTTACAGATTTATGAATTCTTCACTGTAGCGTGCTTATTTGGTCTTCTTTTAATGAGTTATTAATCTGGACTGAACTTGTAGTCTATTGCGAACAGAATGCAAAAAAAAAAAACGTTTCAGAAAGTTCCTATTTCATATAAGCCTTATAATAGCTATGTTCAGCCGCAGTAAGACACTTTTTTTACATGTACAGTATGTTTTATTTTTAGAACGTATATTAAGTGGGTTTAATTGTAAGCTACAGTACGCAAGCAAAAATCTGTTATGCTTTTAATAGCTGTGGGTGGGGTCCCTTGGCTCCTACTGTATGCAGATTATGGGTTGAGTGAAATTCTTGGAAAGGGCAGTGAATTTTAAGACGTCCATGAAAAGAAAGAACTCGCATTTAGCATCTTGAAGTGTACCGTGTGCTCTAACATCACTGGTGCTGAAAATCGGGAGAGTGAAGACTCCTTTTGAGTCTGCCTTCTCCAGAGGCTGAACTGCGGAGTGTTGTTCACTCTGTGGAAAGGGTGAGAGGGTGAGAAGGTGATGACTTCAGTCAGGAGTGATTGCTGATCACCCTCCCACCCAGGTTACCACCTGTTTCATAAACCTCCCTCAGGAAGATGCCTTGAGGCAAACCTTGCTTAAACTTTGCTTAAGCAGGAGTCCTAGTTACACGTGCACTGTGTTAATGATGTCTCTTAATCTTGTTTGTGTACGGTTTGTGTAGAAGGTTTTTACAGCACCAGGTACATCAGAGTCAATTCCTTGCACATGATATGTACTTGGCAAATAAAGGTGATTCTCTTTGCAAGTCAGCAGCCCCACTACAAGAGCAGCTCTCTGGTAGGGTGTAGCCACTGTTTCAGTGGTTTCACGATTCGCAACTCATAAAGTTGACAGAGGCCATAAAGAGAGCCATGCCTTAAAATCAACGTACAGAGGCACCACCACGTCTTACCGCTTTTCCATAACTTACGCGTTTACCTGACCACATGCACTGCCATAAAAATATCCCGAAAGTTTAGTTTGTAAAGTGCAAATGCTCTGAGCTCCTGTGCTTTTTGAGGTAGGACAAAAATGTTCTCAGTCTCACAAGTGCCACGTTTGGGAATACTTCACCCCTTTAACACATCTGTCTTTGCAGGCCCACAGATCAGCTGTTTCCCGCCTCACAACTTCACCTCGAAGCAGTCGGCCTATGTGGACACCTACTGCTGGGACTCCCTGATGCATCACGAGTTTGACAGCAGTGGGAATTTCGAGGAGCGTTCACTGTGGGTGCACAAAGTAAGCGCATCGTTCCCAGGTCAACGCACGCTGCTCCGCCCCTTACACTCCACAACACAAAGAAAACTTGGTTTTTGTTAGACAATTAGAGATTTTTTGTCATATACTGTAAATGGCTGCGGGGGTATGGAACATGTTCCCTAGCCACATTGCTGGATGCCCAGTACCTGGCTTCTTCCAAGACACTACTCTGTGGATCGATTCACTAATACTCAGTGCCTCCTCTCATTTGTAAGCTTTCTTATGATTTTACACTCAAAGTTGTTCATCCAGATTTCATACTTGGCAGTTTTGTTTTGTGAGGAATCCAGGCCAAATTGCGAGACATAAATTATAGAGCAGCGTGGATATTCTGGCTACCTGACAGTCTAGTGTCGGTTCTTGACTGTAATTGCACTGCTACACCACCAGCTAAAAGCTGGCTCCACGAAGCCGGACAATGACAAAAACCTTACAATCCCTATGTAATAAGAGGCATGGTTGTGCTTTATATAAATGATATGCAGCTTGGGGTAAACCTAAAATAGCAGTGTTATTGAGACGGTTTTGTATTATTATTGTTTCTTCTGGTGGTACAAGCCAAGCCTTTGGCCAGGGTCTCCTCTGGGAGTGAAAACTGGACACACCTGACTCGGTTCCCTGATTAGGGTCCTGTGTGACTGGAATGCCCCTGGAAGGGAAAGAGCTCATTTGATTGGTCCAGGGGGTAACTCCACATTCCACAGGATTTACTATTGGGTTGTATTAGTGCCAGGTGTGCAGACTGTAGGTAATGGTCTGTGTCTTAAGTGCCTGCAGTGCGGGAAGAGAGAGAGGGGAAGGATGGACTTTGGGTTTACTGTAGGGAGTCTAGATGGCACAGGAAATGATAATGGACTCTTGTGGTTTAACATCAGAAGCCAGCCTGTAGTCCTAATTCCAGTGGTTTTGAGACTGATCTGGAAGAAACTGGCAAGTATTTGATTTGGAGTGGATTTAACTAGATTGATTCACACAGAGTGAATTTAGTTTTTCTATGTAGACTTGGATATAAACTGAGTCCTCCATAGACTCTGCAGAGTAGTGGTGGTGATAGTTGGGAACTGGGTGCCTAAAGGGTTAGGCCAAGGGTGGTGCAGCAGTAGGGACATAGAGGTTCCTATTTAAGGGGCAGCCTGACCAGTTATTGGGGGGGCTGAGCCCAGTTCAGTGTCAGGGGCGCCCCTGGATGTGTTGGAAACAGCAGAAAGAGAAAGCAGTGGGTCAGGAAACCGGCTGTTCTGGCTCCTCCAGTTGATTACAGAGGACTAGAAGAAGTGGGTCTGTGTGAGATGAAGAGGAACAGAAGATATTTCATTTAATACCTCATCTGTATATTTTAGGAGCCCAGAGGGGCTGTGAAAGCCTCTTAAAAGGGACAGACAGCCAAAACAGTCTGCAACAGATATGCCCTGAGTCTTATATTGTGGCCAGGGAGTCAGCATTCACCATATTTCTATATTGCCAACTGCTTAGCTTTTTTTCATTATGCTAGGAACAAGAATACAGGATACATAAGCTTTAAAACTTGTATGTGCTTTTGGAAAAGCAGGGCACCCTTTGTAAAGGAGTGGTGTTATGTCATGGCCATAGCAATTCCTCACATTACTCTCTCTCACAGATGTTCCCCTACTCCCTTCTGGTGATGGCGGTGATGATGTACCTGCCTGCTCTGTTCTGGAGGTTCCTGGTGATGCCCAGCCTGGGTTCAGACCTGCTCTTCATCATCGACGAGCTTGACAAGTCCTACAACCGCTCGGTGCGGTTGGCCCAATGCATCCTGGAGCTGCGTCAGAACGCGCCGGATCACCTGAACTTCGAGGCTGAGCTGCAGAGGTAATGGTTTTGTGAAGGAAGGGCAGGTGGCTTGGTGGTAAAGGAGTTCCTGTTGGTGTAGCTGTGCTGGAAGATAAGCAAGAGTTAAGCAAGTCCCCCTGGTGAAAACTGTTTATTCTTGTGCCAGCTTCAAATGATGCTCCATCTCCTACGAGTTGAGGATTTAAACTGTATTTAGGGAAAGACCAAGGCGGCTATTAACCTACTGATGTTCCCAGGTTATCAGAATTTGTTCCGCATGAAGAAAACCTTAAGACGGGTCTCATGTTCTCACATTTGGGGAAGTAGCATGAAACAAGCCATTTGTGGAACATCTTTAATCCCAGGTTAGAAAAATCAAGACCATTAAAGAGGATCAACCCAACTACACTCCTTTGTCTAAACCTCTGGTCACATTTTAGGTTAAAAACTGCTTTGTTCATAACAAAAAAAAAAAAACTAGTCAGATGGAAAATCACTTTTTTTTTTTAAGTGTAATTCTGACTTTAAAACTTACTCTTCGTGTTTCCCGGTTTGAATATGGTGTGTGCCCTTAGGACCGATATGACCCTGATGATTTTTCTGAACCCCTTCCCACAGGGCAAAGCGAGAACGTTACTTTGAGTATCCCCTGCTGGAGCGCTACCTGCAGTGCAAGCAGCGCTCCTGCTTCCTGGTGAGCATGCTGTTCCTGCGCAGCCTCCTGCTGCTGGTCTTCATCTCGGCCTCCTGCCTCTACCTTGTCTACTTCCACCTGTCAGCCTTCCTCCAGGACGAGTTCAGCTGCTTCGTGAAGACGGGCCTCTTGCGGGACGAGCCCTGGGTCCCCGAGCTGGTGCAGTGCAAGCTGACGGGGCTCCTGGTGTTCCAGGCCGTCAGCGTGGCCAACGGGGCCGTGTACGTCCTCCTGGTCCCCATGATCCTCTTCGGCCTGCTGCGCCTCTTCTGCTGGGACCGGAGCTTCCTGTCCGTCTATGAGGTTCTCCCCGCCCTGGGCCTCCTCCACGGCCGGAAACTGGGCTGCCCCCTCAGTGACCTCAATGTCATCCTCCTCTTCCTGCGGGCCAACGTCTCCCAGCTGCGATCTTACGGGCGCCTGCGGGCTGTCGGCACTCTGACGCCCATGTTGCCCAGGAGGGGCAAAAAGCCCAAGAAGGGGGCAGGTGAAAGCAAGGAGGAGGAGGAGGAAGCGGCAGAGGAGCGAGAGGAGAGGGAAGAGGAAGCTCGGGAGGCCAGGGAGGAAGGAGAACATACCCTGGTTGACATCATGGGTGTCCTGGCAGGATCTGAAGGGGGCAAAGTGAACGGCACAGAACAGAAACCTCTGCCTGATGACCATCTGGGTCTGGGTACTGTAGTGTTTCTTTACGTGATCAAGCGCGTTATACTACTGATCATCTTTATCATTATAATATGGGATGTGCAAAAAATAATCAAGTAAAACATTTTATTCCCATCCATCCGATTCATTGATTTGTGGCGCTATAACGGTTAGAAAAATTCCTAACCACCAACGCTATTTTAATGACCTCTAACCAATTTCTAGAAGCAGAAAAATGTTTTGAGACAAACGGGGATCTTCTTTCTCAAGTTTAACGTGTCGCCACCGTAAATTACCTGACATTTGCATCCTAGTAAGGAAGTACCCAAGTTTTCCTCCACTAGGAACATTGTCGGTTCAGGTTGTTGAGGGGGGGTTTGCATGGGTGTTGACGTTCCAAATTTTAATTCTAAAAGAGGCTAAAAAGGAAAGAGTAGGTAAGTGGCTCAACTTGGACCATTAGCCTTCAGACCCCTAACTCCCCTCTCCGTCTCTCCACAGAGCTCTCTAACCACCAGGGGTACCATGAGTTGAAGGAGACACCATCTTGTAGTTATGCCTAAAGCGCCCAACAGTGGATTGAACCAGCAGGGCTTCTAGGTGAAGCTCAGAAAGGTGCCAGCATCCATTTTTATTGATAAACTTTCTTTATACCCACGCACAAAAAGCAAATCAAAATAAACTGTGTGATTTTTAAACACTGGTGCCATAATCCCAATTCGTGTTGGGTGCAAGGGATTTTTTTTTCCCCAAGGAGAAAGCCTCCCTTAGAATTAAAACTGGTTTGTTTTGTTGTTGTTGTTGGGTTTTTTTTTTCCCCCTCATACGATTTTAATACGCTGTTTGTGTTTAAAAGTATTTGTGCACATTTGCTGACGCATAGAGAGTTTAAGACTGTACTGAAGCTTTTGCAGATGTAACATTCTAAATAAAAAAAAAAACCTTTAAATCTTAACTTTAACCTGCTGTGATTTTAAGGGAAGTGGCAACGCATACAAAAAAATTAAAAGAAACTGTAGTGTTGGGGGGACAGTCTCAGGCAGTAAAAAAAAGGTTGAGAAGAGACTAAGTAATTTTAATGGCTGCTAAACATTTACAGGTATTTTGGTGTTTGACCAACTAGAAAAATACAATCAACAGCTTGTTAGCTCAGGACACATCTCCTGCTATTCAAACCTCAGCAGGTAAGTTTTTTTTTTCCTGGTTTTCCTCCTTCATGTTCCAAGTGATATTTCTCTCATGCTTGTGCCTGACTGGAGGTTCACACAGACATTAGCTGCACCCATACACCCCCTCTGCTCGGTGGACACGCCGGTGTCTGCTCAGACTCCGCGGGTGGCTGAAGTTCTTCCCGCAGTCGACACACTGGTACTGGCCGTGCCCGGAGTGACCCCCCTCCCTGCCGCAGGGACCCGCATCCAGGCCCCTGCCACACACGGCGCAGTCGTACATGGCGTCGAGCTTGTGCAGCAGCTGGTGGAGCTGGAGGGTCTCCAAACGGCTGAAGCTCTTCCCGCACACTTTGCAGTCATTAGAGGCCCCGCCGTCACCCATGGGTCTGTGCTTCGTGCCCTCTGTGGCGTCCGCAGTGTCGCTGGCCTTTGCGCCCAAGAGCTGGGCCTTCAGTAGCTCGAAAGCAGAGGTTCCACTACAGTTTTCCGTGTTGTTCTCAGCAACAGCTGGCCTCCAGCTCTGTGCACAGGGGGATGGATGTTTTTGCTCTGACACTGTTGGAGAAGAAAGTCAAGAACATGAAGTCTTAGGCCACTGAATCTGCTAAAGTGAAAGATGCTGTACACTCAATCGGATAGTTAATCTAGGCAGGTTTAACCATTAAAAAAAAAAAAGCTTATAGCATATTCTTAAAAGGCTCTCGAATTTCATACAAATACCTCATTTCTAAGATGTCAAGCCGGATCCAGTGTTTTGCATTACAAAAGAAGGCTGTCAGAGTCTCGGAACACAGCTGTGTCCGGGACTGGGCTCGCTTACACAGGGAGCCGGAGGTCAAGGCTGAGTCCTGCGCGTCGCCCCCTGGTGGGCGAGGAGCTCCGGGCTTCGCCGCGCTGCCTGGGGGCAGGCCGGATGTGCCCCCCGCGTCCTCCCCTCCCAGGAAGGCTTCTTCCGCTACCTCCTCTTTAATGGGGGCCCCCAAGTAGGGGTCTTCAATGATGCGGACGGAGCCCAGCTCCGTGACGTCGCTCGCCACACGGCCCGCCGCGCGTCTGCAGCTCCCTGCGGGAGGGACCGCGATTCCCGGGGTCCCCCGTCCCCGTCCCCAGGCCTCCCCGCGGGGCCCCGCCGGGTCGAGAGCGAGCCATTTCGCGTTCTCCGCTTCCGAACCTGGGTAAAACGCAAATACGCAAAAAGTGGCTTCGGCCTAATCATTACAAGAAAAACACATTCCAATAAATAATTGCTTACATATAGCGCTTGGGCACTCTACTCACAGCGCTTTACAGGTAATGGGGATCCCCTCCACCCCCCACCAGTGTGCAGCCCCACCTGGATGCTGTGACGGCAGTCATAGTGCGCCAGAACGCTCCCCACACACCAGCTCTCAGTGGGGAGGAGAGCAGAGTGATGAAGCCAGTTCAGAGATGGGGGTTATTAGGAGGCCATGGTTGGTAAGAGCCAATGGGAAATTTGGCCAGGACACTGGGATAACACCCCTACTCTTTTCGAGAAACACCCTGGGATTTTTAATGACCACAGAGAGTCAGGACCTCGGGTTCACGTCTCATCTGAAGGACGGTGCCATTTTTTTTTTACAGTATAAAGTCCCCATTACTATACTGGGGCATTAGGACCCACACAGACCGCAGGGTGAGCACCCCCTGCTGGCCCCACTAACACATATTTGCACAATACTGTGTGAAACCAACAGAGCTAGAGCTATAAACACAAACTGGACGTGCCTTCAGACGCTTCAGAGGAATCTGCCTCCCCAGGAATAGCGTCTTCCAGCTCATCTTCTTCCAGAGAGATTTCTGTGCTGGTTCCCAGTTCGGTGCTGCTGTTCAGGTCACAGGCCAGTTCCATCTGCTCCTCCTTGACCGTGTTCCCATCTTCCAATTCAACCCCTTGAGGTGCAGATCCCCGCACCTGCCTCTCTTTGTGTAAGTCAAAGCTCTCTGCTTGTTCTGCCATATTAACCCTAGTATTTGAAAAGGCGTTCATATATTACTCAACACCAGATGCAGCCAATTAAGTAAAATACATGTAGTTTAATCATACCTGTATATGCACTGTCACAGAATAAACTGGTAAAATTCATCAGTGATGACAGACAATAAACTATTGGATGAGACCCCCAGTTTATTTTCTCCATTTTTTTCACTTACAGTATGTGTTCATATATTGCATTTTATGTTTTCAGTACAAAGTCTCAGTACTGTCCAACTGAGATTTCAAAACGGTTATCTTTTAAAGGCATACTACTGATACTGACTGTTACAACATCCCTGGCCTCAGTTCCGTTTGCTAAATTGATGCACATCCCACTTAATGTGTTATGGGTGAAAAAAGTGTACAAATAAATCCGTTTCATAGCCGATCAAAACCATCGGTCATTTTATTCGACAAAGGCCGAATTTCACATTTAAAAAAATGAAAACAAGGTTTCCAAGAAAATGTTCCAAATATGCCAATGCTGATAATATTAATTAACTATGATATTAAGCGACGTTCGTCCCAGATGCTAGTGAATGCAAACTGACTTCCTGCAGGGAACTTGTGCGCATCAGTTCACGCGTTTCGCAAATACATAGACAAAAGCAGCTGGCTGCATTCAGTCTGCAACATCGCATGCATGCGCTGCCGGAAAGGCAAACCACTGCAGATCGCATGTGGAGAGACTGCTTTTAGAAAACTGGACTCCTGTGCAACTGCGTTTCTTCCTCCAGTATCAGGCACTGCCTGACCCCGCACGGAACAATTTCGAGAAAACGCTGTACTGCCTCGGTAGTTTCCGGTAGAAAAGTAAGGGCAGAGCAGACAGGTTTTGAGAATAAACCGTTCAGACGCACTTACTGTACACTTACTCGTGTTAAAGCAAAGGATGAAACGGCCCTTCTCACGCGTGTGCAGTACTTCTGCAAGGTGTTCAGCTGAGTGATTCACTAAACGTAGTGGACTCCATGCATGAAGATAATGCGCCGCAGACTCTTTAACAACCCAGCAAGTACCGGACTGTACACTTGCACGGCTTCAAAAACACGTTTGCACGCCAAGTCCCGCCCTCGATGATGAATGACAATTCACCCCACTAACCGAGACCCTGGACGACTTATTTAAAAAAAACTTGGAACCATAGACATCACCGTAATTAGAGCGCCCAGTTATTTTGCTGTATTAACTGTATAGACAACATCTTGTCAAGGTATACTGTAGGTGCATTTCTTTAAACGCCAAAGTATAACATTTATTCAGGACATTTCTCATCTGTCTGGAGATCCCATTAGTCTTGTCGTACTTTCTTGTTGCTTCCGAAAAGATCTGAAAATAGTGGTAAAACCAATTTTCTCGGTTAGGGGATGGAAGGTACAGTTCTGTACCTTGGCTTACAAGACGGGGTTATTTGGTATTATAATATTCCTCTTAAACTTTTATTTAATGTAAGTTGTGCTGGTAAAGTGAATACAGTATAGCCACCGTAATAAGGATAGATTGTATAAAAACATTTAGTTCTGGGCTAGAAAAACTCAGCAAATACAGTATTAACTCCTCCAGTCTCACACCTACATTCCCTACACACACACCTTCCCTGGTAGTTATGATTGATCATTTATTTTAATATTTTATTTCAACAAGATGTGACATACTGTCCTTGCTTGTTATAGGTGTTCTCTACTGTAATTCTCACAATCCTAAAAATACACATAATATAAAGTCAGGTTTTGGTAGTTTCAAATGTGTCAGTGTCACAAGTGAAATACATGCTGCAGCGAGTGTGTGCCTGCTAGTGTCTGTGTACCCTGCAATGGACTGGCGTCCTGCCCAGGGTGTACCCTGCCTTGTGTCCATTGCCTACAGGTTTCAAAGGCATCTTTCACTTAGACCTGGAAAACAGAAGGCTGTTTCATTTTTTATCCACTTTGTTGGTTCCATTAAGCAGTGAACCAAATTATATTCATTCATTTCTGAAGATGACATCAGGACTCAAGGGGGTCATGAGTTCAGCTCGATTAAGTAAGCATGCGCTGTGAGAAAGTGATTTACCATGTGATGGTTTTCTTACTAGCGACTTAAAGAAATCCTGACATATATCTGTCTTTCACTCCAGCGTGTTCAAGGGGAAGGTTGACTAAATCCATGATTGATAAGTTCAAATGGTGTATCTGTACTGTCTGGCAGGCCGGTCTAGTTCAGTAACAAAAACTTGTCACTAGAGGCTGCCAAAGGACCTTTTAAAGCATTGTAGAGACTTTCATCTGGTGTGTGTTAATTATGATGATGAAAGTGAGGAGATAATTAGAACTGTAAGTACAGTATATAATAAGAACATGCAGGGGGTGTTGGGGGGAGTACTATGTGTATAAGTAACAATAGCCACTAAGTGCATCTTCATTAAAGCATTTTACGAAACACTTCAAATAATGAGAAGAGAATCCCCTTTGGTGTTTTATGTATGCAGATCCCCAGAGCCAGAAGCCACAATACATCGCTGTCTCATTGAAGGACTCCTCCATAAATTGCCCAAATCGCTCTATCTGTGATTTGAGCAGGGCCAAATATATATGAATGAGTTGCTACCTGCTCTATTGACAGCCTCCAACATTGTGCGATGTCTTTTTGTTTCACTTGCGTTTTAGGTCTACCAGTTTTGTGAGCTTGTGGAGCTTTCTAATATAGTGTGTTGTTTCTTGTTCCATGTGCGTAGTACAACCTTGGAAGTTACATCTGATTACTTTGCGTTCAAACAACATATATATATCATAGACAATTAACTAAATATTTTATGTTTCCTTTCATGCAGCAGCATCCAACAGATATGGGGTACAATTCTAGAGGGATCTGTTATGTGCTCAAGGATATGGTACAGTCTTTACCACCAGTAACTTTCCCTATTTTGTGTTTGTGCAGTAGCACAAAGGAGCTCATCAGGTTGGAACTACATTACCAGAAGGGCTATTGGATAATTAGTGGTGACTACCAGGATGTAAATTGAACACAGGTGTTGTCAGTGAAGGCCTGTGCTCAGTGTATATGAAAGTGAGGTGAACAGGAGTGAAGGGTCTGTGATTAAATACCTGAACAAGGGAGGGCTTGACAGGCTGAAGAGTATAGCAATAAAGAATTAGAGATAATCTACTATTTTGTGGGGGACTTTTTAGTTCTAAACTGTTTTCAAGCTGTAACTGTGTCACGTTATTGGACATTTTGACACATTTTGATCATAATAAAACGTAGAACCTTCACTTGGCACTAACAGTAGAGCTGAATACTTTTCCTCACACTAGAGGACTTGGCCAGAACCACAGGGCGTCACGAGTGGTAGAAGATGCAGGTACTGGTTTAACATGTGTGTAACTTGGAAGTGGACTGAGTCCTAAAAATGGATCATTTATTATTTGAACAGGCTTTTGAACAGACTGCAGAGCCAGGAAGATAGCCTTCAGCGCAGTGGCTGAGACTGCTGGCCCTGTTTCAGAGTAGAGAAACTCAGAAGGTCTGCTGTGGCCTTGATTTAGTGCAGGTTGGTGCCAATATAAGACTGAGGGCAGAGATCCTGGCTTGCTTGGGGGGGCTTACCACCACTATGTTTGATGTGTGCCCCTCAGCCTTGCACCTATGTCCCAGATACTCCATACAGCAAACCGGACTGTAGAACTTGTCTTGGACCACAACTTGCAGTCTTCCCTTGTCTTTGAGAAAATGGGTCAGTCATGGAGACTCTGAAAACATGGAGCAGTCGGTCTCCCTGGTGTCTGGGTACATTTCTACAGGAGAGCTGATGAAAAGTGGGGATCAAGAGCTGTCTGGCCTGAAGAGCAGAACCCCCAGGGACATGTGGTACGGCTGAGTGCGCAGATGGAAGACCGGAGGAACAACCACAGACTCAGAGACCTAAAGACCTTGTGGAGCTCTGGAGATAAGCAAAGGGTTTTTTAAAAGTCACGTGAGTTACAAAAACAAGCCTGGAAAAAACGAGGTTTTAGATGCCATGGGTTGGGTTGTAAAGATAATTATTGTCCTCAGGCTAGGGATCTCGTGAATTCCCACATGGGGTTAGGGCCAAAAACTTGATTTCAGTTTGCGCAATGTGGGAGCCAAGTAATAAGAATTTGCATTATTGCATAATTAGACATGGGTAATATGATGACTTTAGTGTCTAGACCTGGTAGAGTAGAATTAAAAACCATGCTGGGACTGTGAACTGCCAAATAGGTGTGATGTCGTTCCTTCTGGAACCAGAAATATTGGGCTGGCATTTTCCTGACTCACTGAAATTGTGAGAAAATAAGAATGACACGAGTAGATCTCTATCCCAGCTGCTAAGACCATAGAAGAGAGTCTGAGAGTGATATTTTCATTCAGTGTCTTAGATCTGTTTACTCAGGACAATAAGAGATAAACAGCTAGAAGGAAGGGAGTTTCTCAGGAGTGCAAAAATATTAGTTTAGTAAATCCAGTGCTGTGAGATGAGTCAGAAGTGTGGTGCTAGCTCCGGTATTCTAGATATTTTTCCAGGTTTACTGTATATCTGAGACTTGGGCAGAACCGAGAAAGATTCTGGTACAGCCACTATAAATGGTGATTTAAAAATTAAAGGACAACCCAACTAAACTTTGACATACCCCCATGGTGAAACAGGGAATGATCTGTTTTCTTTAATGGAAAAGATAGGTATTTCAGGAGGTTGCACAATAACTAATACCCCAGCCATATACTGTAGAGCCTTTTTGTCTTTGTTGTACACTAAGCTCATCAGAAGGGGCTGGAGATACATTTCCCTGCGGTCCAGACTCTGGTTGTAGTGATCAGCACCCCAATCAGTTACAGTATTCTTGATGTGAGAATTTCTTCAAAGCCTCCTAAATGGCCCTGCAGCACAGAGTAATAGCACAGATTGCTGTCACCCCACTTTTCCTGGATTTTAAACGCTGGCCACTGGGTCTTTGTGAAGTACTTTGGGAAAATACTGGTTAAATAACGACATTCAAAGACAGCATTTTAAGTGATTTATTTCATTAAGGAAAAATAGGACTTACAAACGCCTGTTATAACCATTTCAGTAACATTGAAATTCAATTCAGGAATGCAGCACAAAACAGAAAATAAATCAAAACATATATAAGACTTGCTCAAGCCCCCTTTTAGGAGGAAGGTTTATTTGGTAATGGTCCCGAGACAAAAAGGAAACACCTGTTTAAGAGCGCTTAAAAAAACTTAAGTTAGATTATTGTAACTTTAACTTCCTCATTTACCTTTTGTTTTCACAAAATGTGGCCACAATACCAATGGAAACACCACAATACCAATAATATCCAAACATTTTTTGACAGTTCAGTTTGACTTGGTCGTCTTTATCTGTAGGCCGATTCAAAGGCAGCTCGATTTTAAACGTAAAAAAAAAAACAAGAAACAAGAGCAGCAAGAAGTACAAACCTGCATTGAAACTGCATTTTCAGACAAAAGTATGCATCTGTACATTCTCATTCTGGGATACAGAAAGCATTTTAGGAAGAGATGTAATCTTGTATTTTGTCAAGTACGGATCTGCCAAGGGAGAGCACTTCCTGCTCCTTTTCTGGAGGGAACTGCCCATTAGGAATATTGGGAGCTGTGTGGTAGGTGGGATATTGTGTTTTCTTGTTATCCACATCAAACCCGGTCAGTCTGTGCACCAAATCTGAAAGCTCACGGAGACTTTCACTAAACAATGAAACGTTCTGAGCCATACTAGATATGGTTTGGCCCTTGGAGTATCTTCCATCTCTTTTGTATTGTGCAGCTATCAGAGCCTTTTCCACTGCTTGGTGTACTTTAAAAAAGACCCACTCTGTATTTGATTGGCCAGCGTCTCTGTCCGCGGAAGAAAGATCATGTTCTGCTTGCTTCAGCCACCTCCTAGCTTCGGTTGGGTTGGGCCGGTACCTGCTGTGAAAACTGAAGAAGTCATACTCATGTGACGGATATCTGAAATTGAAATTGGTTTTTCCCTTTTTGTGTTTCGATGCTTCTGCATCCCAGCTATACCAGTCATAGCTGTGATATGTGCTCCCAGTGCTTTTCTGGGAGGACTTACGATTTGCTTTCAGCTGCTGAATATACTTGCAGACTTCTGTGGCAATCTCCGAGTCTTCCGGGTTCTTGTCAGGGTGCCATTTTAAGTAAAGGCGACGGATGGCTTTTTCTCGTTCCTGTTTAGGAAGCTTGGCTATCTTTTCAAAACACTCATCAATTTCTTTTTTGATATCTTCGATTGACTGTGAAAACTTTCCACCGTGGATATTGCCCATTTCATCTGCTTGGGTTAGTAGCATGAGTTCCTTGCAATTGTTTCTGGTGCCTTTGGTCCTCTTAAACTGATAAATATCATTTTTAGAGACTTTGATGACCTTTTTATCACCTATTTCTATCATGTACCACTCAACTGTCCCATCACTTTCCTCTCGAATGCCTAAGTTTTGAACAATCACTGCATATCGGTATACTCCATCAGAATCCAAGTATCCAACAAAATCTTCCATTTCAAAGGTGCTGAGGAAGTCCATTTCAAGAAAGTTCAGAAAATCATCTGGAATGACCTCTCCTGGACTAGGCAGATTAAATGTGTCAGTTTCACTCCTGGAAATGTGTATGTCATTTTCCATTAAAACGTTGGGAATATCTTCTGCATCTTCGCAGCAAAGCATCTCAATGAGTATTGGTATTGTTTTATCATTCAGCAGCTCATGAAGCATGACGTTGATTTCTTGAGCAAGGGCCTTTGGTACCTTCAGTATCCTCCTACCCTGGCAGTTATTTTGGTGCTCCACAAAAATATCACACTGATCCTTGTGTTTAGAGATGTAGACTTCCTTTTTCTTTGTAGTCCTTTCCAGGAGGGTGGAATTGTAAAACAGACCTGTTACGAGTTTCTCACAGCAAGTGATTTGAATTTCAGAGAAGAGCTCTTTCAGACCATTCCTGGAAATGGCTTGAGGGAGATCACCTTTATACTGCCATTTCAAAGCAGATATCACTCCTTCGCTGAAATTTGTTGATTTCAGCAGATTTTCTAGATGCTGTCTAAATTCACATTGCTCACCAAACTGACAAAGTTTCAATGCTGATCTTGCAAGGGCTTCCTCGGTTGTCTCGGAAAGCATCTTAGGACGCATTTCTTCTGGGAGTAGCTTGAGACATTTTCTGATCCGATAAATATCCCATTGAAGGTGACACTCCTTGAGTTTGATTATAATTTTGAACTTTTCCTTCCAGTATGCCACATCACTGCTGGATGTAAAATTCACACAGTCATTATAGTACAGACTGCCTGACTCGTGTAATTTGCCATCCATAGCTGGAAGGTAGAGACCTTCTGTAGACTGGAAGTGGTGATCTTTTTCTAAACCTTTGAAAAAGTGCTGAACTGCCCTTTTTGAGGCTTTTATTTGGCGTGGCTGCAAACTGTTCATCATCTTTGAGTCCTCAAAGATTTCTCTCAGCACCCTGGCAAAATGTGATGTTGTAGCCTGAACAGAAACACCCATCTTCTGGAAAAGGTCCTTATAAGGAGCGAGCAGTGGTGAGACTGGGTAGAGATATGGCCTAAAATCATTTTCATTTACTAGTGAAATAACCACTTTGTTTGGCTTCACCAGACGCCTGTTGTTTTCTACCAGAATAATTGGAATGTCTGAAAGAGACCGAGAATCAAATCTGCATTTTTGGAGAAACTGATAAGCTGTTTCTATCACTTTAGCTCTGGTTTGAATAAGTTCTTCTGTTTTGCATTCTGAACCAGCAAGATTCCTAAGATTTTGGAAGACTAAGTCCTGTGGAGGTACGTACAAGGCTCCCGTGTTCTTCAGTATCGCAGACGTTTGCTGGAAAGGTAGTATAGGCATGGCTGTCCAGACCAGCTCTACATCATCATCTTTCTGTGTAACAAACGATCCTTTCAGGGCAATGAGTTGATTATTTCTGACATATGGCGCATGCAAATCACACAGATCCCTTTTTACTTCAAGTGAGTAGACAAACTTGATCGTGGAGAGCTTTTCGCAAAAGTCTGCAGTGATTAAATCTTCCTGAAAAAGAAAAATAGTCTTGAGTACAGCATCTACTTTAGGCTTTAGCTCCTTCACTTGAGCTCCTGTCTTAGCATCGCGTTCAATCAAAGTCGCAAAGTGGAGGATATCATCCTGGGATGGAGTGTGCCGCATTCCAAGATCTCCAAGCAACTGTTGAAGTAAATATCCAGGCTGTAAATTCTTAAAAAACTCTTGAGGAATAAATTTCTCATTCAAGTTCATGGTTTTGAAAAGATGGACATTCTTATCATAGAAGAAAGAAGCTTCTCGAAGATTGCCATGCACATCTCTGATGAACTTCACAGGCTTGAGAGCTGTAATGATCTTGGATTTATTTTTGTCGTATTCTATAGGATAATGATGGATAATGCACAACAACAAGTTTATAGAGCTTAGTTTCTGAGATTCAGATAGCTCCTCTATTTTTTGGAGAATTACCACACTAAAAAACTGCAGGTCTGTTAGAACTTTTATGTCTGAATTTTCAGACAGTTTGTTGTTAAATGAAGTATTCTTTAGAAATATGACCTCACTGTCAATCTCATACAAATCTGGGAAATGTGTCACAGAGTTCAAAATGTAGACCTTTTTGAACTTATCAATGCTCTTGTGTGAACCCTGCATAGTTTGAAAAACTGGCAGTGATTTTAACCTTGTCATGTACATTTGGCTGTCAGTGGTATTCTGTAGTCCATTAAGTAGAAAATCAAGCAGATTGTCGTGCTCGAGTGCGGATAATTCAGTCCACTGTAAGCCTTTGCTTTCACTGAGTTTTTTCAATGTTGTCGAAGAGTCAGTGGTGTTTAACACATTTGGCCTAATAACATGAAACATTATGTCATGTGGTAAAATCATACTGTCGAATTTTGCAAAACCAAGTTTGATCAGTAGTTTCCCAATATCTTCATCACGCACCACATTTTCCAGGGCATTAAGAGACACCAAAATGTTACATTTTTCCTTCGTATTCAACACAGGCAAAATAGCAAGATCACCAAAGAGAGATTTCAGTTCCATAAACATTTCTTCTTTTTTGGCTGCATCTGTAGAATAGGAACAGGGGAACATGACACCAAAAAACTTCCAAAGCAAGTGTATCCATTTTTCATCCTCTTGCTTTAAAACTGGCCAGGTTTTGCAGTCATCGTTAGAAACGGAGTGTACCAATCTTGCCTTAATATAGTTTACAGAATCTTGAACAGTGAATTTTTTCAGAAATCCAGCTTTTTCTAGTGCCGACATTTCAAAATGGTTACTAATGTTTGCAAATAAATGGTCCATGCCTGGGAACAAATTGTGATACAATGAAAGATATTTAGGTTCTGCGAGCAGGAACCGTCTCAGAGTGTCATCTTGTGTTAACAAAAGTGGCAGTCCCTCTAGGTGTTTCACATTCTCTTCAGTAATATCCCTAAGGCAGTACTCTAGAAGAGTACATATTTGCCTTTGGTTTTTGAATGGAGATGTGTTTAAGGGAAGAGCAAGTCTGTCTTGCTGATTCAGCAGAGGATGAGCCATAAGAAACTTCCTCACAGACTGTGGATTCAGTTCTGTGACCCTTGAACCTGCTTTTACAAACTCATTCCATATTGCAGTGAGCTCATCACTTTGTAACACAAACTTCATCTTCATTTGTTTCAATACATCTATCAGATCTGAGCTGTATTTTTCAGTCATGAAGTGTGGTTCATCGGTTGTTTCATTCCCAACACTAGACCAGTCAATCGAGATATACTTCTCTCCATAAAGGCCTGCTACTCTTTCTTCCCGTCTAAATATGGGAATGACTTTGTATTTCTTTGCATGAATTGACCGATAGACTCTAGCCACAACTTCATACCAGTCTTTTTGTATCCTGTCAAAATCCTTGGGGAAGATGCAAAACAATGGCTTGAGCTGCTCCTCACAATGCTTCTCATTTCTGAATGTCAGAGGGCGTTCCTTGTCATTAAATAAATGGTTGGCTATGTACAATAGCAGATCGCTGTATAAAGGCGCAAGGAGATTTAGTTTTATGCTTTCATTCCATTCTGTCTTTACATTCTGTCCATCTTCTTTCCAAAGATCCCTCCTGCTACTATTGACAGCAAAGCTCCCATTCACATGCACAGGGAGTCCAGTTTCAACCGGTAGAGGGAGAGAGCAGAACAGTACCCCCTTTGTGAGGGAATTTGCAGATGCAGCAATAGCTCCATGAGGTATTAATTTTTGACGCAGTTTTTCACAGATGTGCTGCGCGGAAGCTTTAATCTCTTTCTCCTCAAATCCCACTTGTTTTGCTAGTATCCACTTTGTCGGACACTTGCCAGTGCAATGAATTTCCACTTCCATAAAAACCTGGAAGGGGTTTATATCAGTCACTTCAGTCTGAAGGTCGGCAATCTCTTGCACTTTATTCAGAAAATCTATCCTCTTTTTCAAATTGTCTTCTGACATTTTCACTTCCACAGAAAAAACTGGTTGCAGCTGTTGTGTAGTGCTGTCAAGGGTCTGAAAGGTAATTTTTGTTATGTTGTTTAAAAACAGCATTAGCCCATCCGGGTCTTCCTCCAAGGTCTTAATCAGACATCTCATGTCTTCTTCAGTTACAGCCTCTTTTTTTATGTCTGAATTCCTTGCCATTTCCTCAGTTCGTAGCGGAATCCGAAACATGGTACCCTTCTCAAGCTCATAAAAAGAGGGGAGGTAAGCGTTGTACACGTCCGGAAATGTGCTTTTGAAGGACTTATTAATGGCAAATTCTCCTCCTGGATCTCTCTCTGTAGCCATCTTCAAGTAGGAGATGTGAGGATCAAAGACGCACAAACGACTATCTCCAGAAATAAAAGATGGGCAATCAGTTAGATGATAGACAGAATTGAATCCCAAGCCGAATTTCCCAGTTTTCTCCACATTTTTGGCCTTTCCTCCTTCCCCCAGTTCCTGGATTCCTTTCACATCATCTTCTGTAAACTTTTTATTGTTGTAGACACAAAGAGAAGGCCCTTGCACTTCAGCCCACTCGTCTCCAAAGATCTTCTCCAGAGGGTGCTGCCTTTGGTCCCAAATGAAATGAATTTCAGTTGCCTTTGCATCATCGGCATTCTGGATTAATTCTTTTAATATGTCTTTGTTTGATGGGTATTCCTTGATAATGTTCTGAAGTCTCTTGGTTAGCTTTTCATGTGCCCCAAATGACTTTACCCAGCGTGAAAGCTGACACACCCTTAAGCCAGTCAGTGCTTTGTGTTTTGTGGTGGGAATGCCAAGGTTAACAGCGATCTCACGGGGTATACGACTGTGACAAAGAACTATATCCTCATCCAGCTTGAGCCAGGCTGAGTCATTGAACTGAAGCTTGTCGGATGATTGTAGGACATTTTTTTGGTCAGGTAGCATGAGGCTCTGGACATCATAGGAATCAAAATCCAACTCTTCGACAAGCCCTCCAAGGCCTGTATTGATAACTCTCAGACAGAGTTCAAAATCATGCTTCTGAAGAGCACTTTTGCCGTACTTCTGTGACAGCCTCTGAAGTATACTGGAGTAGTCCGAGAAGTGGAAATTCTCCTTTATACCAACAGTGCTCCAGAGCTCATCAAATTCCTTGTATTCAATAGGGAGCTTGTAAAGATATGGTGTGGCATCAAATGGGATGAGGTGTGCTACCTCATTTGTCTTCACAAATTTTCCATCAATGTAAATAAAAGGAAATGTCAGATTTGCTGCAAGAATTTTCTTGGTATTGTTTGTTTGTGATTTAAGAGACTCACAAAGGTAACTATAACATTTTTTAGCAATCTGCTCAGTTTCAGTCTTCTGAATCCTGTCCTGAAATAAGAAAGTCTTTTTGAGTTGTGACAAAACCTTCTCAGTTGGTGGCTTTTTATTCAACCCCAAAACATTGGAGGCCTCTGAAGACAGTTTGAAATCCGAATCAAGCTGATTTTTTGCAAATATTGGTTCAGTCATATTGACAAGCCATTTGTGTTTTGTTTTGTACACCATTTTGGCTGGCATGAGGCACACATTTTCTTCAACAATGTTTTCTGGAGAGTAGGGAGGAACTGCAGGAAGGAAGGCAATATTCTGAATTTTCTCTTGGTCCGCATTATTAATTTTTAAATTGCTGAGGAAAGTTAAGATGCTCTGTATCCTCTTGCACGCTTTACCCTTATCCTGGTGCCACAAATATTGAATAGTTTCTGCCCTCTGTATTAGCTCAGATACAGAGATTTGGTCCTTGACCATCCCAAGAGCTTCTAGTCTTGCCAGTCTGTCTGGGTGAAGAAAATCCTTCTGTGAGCCAGTAGGGATTCTACCTTCTTCGTTCTCAAACAAGCTAGCAACCTTTCCTTTGGGATGGATGAGGTTACCAATTAATTCCAGTCCTAGAGTTCCACTTTTGCTTGTTGGAATGCAGGCAGTTGTTTTTAGCAAATCATCAATGTCTGGATTTCTCATATCAATTGCATGCAAAACAAAACTGTTCCTTGTTGTCGCATCCATGCGTTCAAGGTTGCCAAATATTACCTCACTATAAAACTGTTTCCAGTTATAGGTACGCTTCTCAATTATGTCAGAGCATCCACTTTCCGCAAATCCTTTCCTCACCCACTCTGGCAAAAGGATGGGCAGAAGCGGCTGCTGCAGTCTGTGGGAGAATTCTGCGGCAGCTCCTTTCCCGATGCTCTTGTGTCTTGCAATTTCAGGATCCAGGAAGCGTGCGTTTTCAATGGAGCACCACTGATCTCCATTACTCAGAAGTCTCAAAGGTCTGCCGCAGAAGCCCTTTGCCACAGCCTGGTAGAATGTTTCTGCAGTGACCCTGAAGGGCTCCAAAACTTTGTCCATGTTGGGCCAGAATGAGAAATAGTCATAGTCCACAAGCTTGTGACCCTGAGACATCTTCTGTAATTGCAGCAATACGGTTATATAAGCTGCTGTAACTGTATCCTGCAGCAGGGCCCTGTTCCATTCTCCTTTCATCCCAGTATTCCAGAGGTTCTTCCTGTTTGAAGTGACACAAAAGAAGCCATTTATGTGAACAGGGAGTCCCGAATGAATAGCCAGAGGAAGAAAACAGAATACTTGACCCACAGTAGCATCCGAGTTGGGTTTCCACTTGTCATTTTCTGGGCTTCTGCTCAGGGGAACAGCAACACTACCAAGAGGAAGGGCAAAGGGCTGCGTCTGTGTGGGATCACACACCATGTTCAAAGCTCTGCCTGTCCCAAAACAGGAATAAACCAGCCAGTACTGTGAAACTTTCACGGCGTTTGGATCGTCCAGCGTGATTTCCTTGACAACAAGTATGTTCACATCTGTAATGCCTCTGCATTTTACTTTGAATTCTTCCAGTCTCCTTAAAGAGGCCTGCTGCAGCTGTCTCATCTGGATGTCTCCAGACACCTCAAAGCCACAGACATTGCTGCTGGTGAGGGTGAGAAGTGCAGAGGTCTCACTGTGGTTCTTTGTGCTTGATGTTGGGGATAGCACTTTTATGCTCACGTTTTGCACCCTCTTTAGAAAAAGAAGCATGTGTTCACAGTTTTCTCTGAAAGTTCTGACTAAAGTCGATATTCTGTCCTTGTCGTAGATTTTTGTGCTTATCTCTGATCTCTGAGCCTCAGCTGCTGTTCTGAACGGCAGTTTAATCAGTGTCCCCTTGTATTGAAAAGGATGATCACTTATGTTGCAGCCAAATATGTCCTGATATGGCTCAAACTGACCGGGAAATCTCGCAAGCAGACGGTTGTGTTTAGAAAGATCAAGTTTGATACCAGGGTTAGACTTGCTTTGAATGTGCTTTTTCAGATGTGTGACATTCGGGTCAAAGATAATGAGAGTTGTTCCACTCAAAATTGAGGGGATGTCAGTGATGTGATATACTGCATTAAACCCCAATCCAAACTTGCCAATCTTTTCAACCTGAGTTTCCTTGGAGGCTGATCCCAATCTTGTTATATTTTCAAAGTCTTCCTCTGTAAATACCTCATTGTTGTATGACCAGAGGGCTGGGCCGTGACAGAAAGACATGCCAGGATCGATGAGATTCTCTGCCAGTTCTTTGTTTTGTCTCATGTCTACCAAAAAACTGCAGACTGTGGCTTTAGCATCCTCGGCATTCTGAATGAGCTCTTTAAAGAGGTCACTTTCCTCGTCGTATTCTTTGAGAATGTTCTTTATTCTGAGGGGTATCGGTTCAGTTTGCCCATACTGTTCTATGCCTATAAATTCCGGCTTCAACACCCTTGTGCTGAGAAACGGGACATTAAAATAGTCAGCTGTGGCGCGAGATACTTCTTTGTGGACCACATAATACTCGCCTTCGTCTTCACAAAGGTCTTCTAATGCTTCAGACGTAATGTCAGGAAACAGGGCTTTGTATAAAGGCTGTAAGCAGAACCCGTTTTCCTTTGTGTGGTTGTGTACTGGAACCAGCAGATTTTTTTCACATCCCAGCTGCCGGAAGTCTTGACGTGACGTTCGCATCCACTCAAGGACTGAAATCGCAAACTTGAGCTCCACAGGGCCTGCACTGACAGTGTGAGAATCGATGTTGTTTTTCAGGTCGGAAAGTAAGTCCACTATTTCCTTTGGGGACAAAGATGATTTGATGCCACACTTCATCAGCAAACTACTGTACTTTTTAGATAGCTCATCGGGAACTTTCTGAATACAGTAGCTCAAATCTAGCTCTTTGGGATAGTCCAGAACAATTTCTTTGGGATTTGAAAATCCACTTCCGTTCCAAATTGGGCAGCCTTGTAAGAGACTTGTGAAGTCGCTGAGATTCTCCTGAACATGAGTGTATATGGCTTTCACTTTGGTCTCAATTACATCAGGGTCTGTCAGCTCAAAGGTTTCAGCGAGTTTTTTTAGGTTTTCAATCACTTTTTCTGCTGGAGGTGGCTTAGTGATTTCCAGATATTGAGATGCCTTTTGGTTAAATTTGTTAGTAAGTGGCATAACTAACTCAACCAGATGTCCCAGTATTGAATGCTTCAGCTCTTGTGGTTTGTACCATTTGCACGGTTTCTTGCCAGCTGATTTTTCTGCACACACCCAGGGTACGGAGCGGAGGGTTTTCAGCTGACTTCCTGAAAATGTGGAGAGAATGTCTGTCTCGTTGCAAATTTTAACTAGCAATTCAGATTTTCTGAAAGCTTGAGTATTATTTTCTTTCTCCAATTCTTGGGCAACTGCCAAGAATTCTTCCGGCAGGATGCTGTCAAGCGTAGACCGCAAACCTAAAATCCGCAGCGTCTTCAGAATGGATTTCTCAGCAAAAGGCTTTTGAGGGAAAAGGTCTTTGCTAAACAGCTCTTTTAGTATGCCCTCTTCTGGATCAAATAGAGCTGCTGGCTCCACCCAAGTTCCCCCTTTGTTCAAGAATCTCAGGGTTTTGCACTTTTTTTGGAGAACGCTACTTTGGTTATAAAGTAGGCCGTAATTTTTCAAAACCCACTTCATCATTGTTTCGATGTTGTGATATTCCACATAGTGTTTTCTTTCAATGCCTGACACAATCTGCAGGGCCACATCAGCTGAGCTCAGAAGTCTGACTTTGAGGAGCCCAAAAAGTATCTGGTCGTACTCCGCAACACACTTGAGAACCGTCTCACGCAAGACTAGGTCATCAGGAATCCTAGGAATGGTTTCGTATTTTATTGCGGCAAAAGATTTGGCTTCAACAAAGCCTTGCCCAGAAGATGTGAGGGAGGGCGTTTTCTGAAAAATTGGTAGCTCAGAAATGAACTGTGATTCTTTTTCTGTCAGATGGGTTGCTTTGGAAAGAAAGCACCTGAGCTTGTTTTTTTCTTCAACCGTCAGGCAGTTAAGTTTCTTTTTAACATCCGTTTCACCAATGTGGGACAGGATTTTTAACAAATTGCCTACGGAGGGGTAGAGGACGTAGGAATTCAGGTGCTGATGGACTAAAAAGTCATTGAGCTGTTTGATCACGGTGCCCCCGAGCTTCTCAATGATTTTAACCATTTGCTCTTTCAGAACATAATCATTTAGACTCTGAAAAACTAAGGTTGTGCACCTCGTCAGGCGTACCAGTTTCACAGTGTCCCCAGCATTTGACAGGCGTTCCAGTGGTATAAGTGGCAGGCCTTCAAAGGGCTGGAGGTCTCCACAGTGTTTAGTGATGAAATTCCAGAGCTTTGAAAGCCATTTAGCTGGAGGATGTGAGGGATTTCTCTTGTTCCAGATGACGTGGTCAGACCCAGCAGTCCAGTCCCTTGGAAGGGACTCTCGCATGCATTTTATAACCTCCTTGGCATTCAGATGATAGATGTTGAAGATGTCTGTCATAAAAAAATACGTACGGTGATACGAGGTATTTCAAACACTTGTTACATTACTATAAAACTGACAGAATTAAAACAGGAGTACTCTGCTCTTGCCCTCCTGCACCCGGACGGTTTTCTGTTTTTTATTGCTCTGGGGGATCTTAAATACATTATTTGGAACATTAGTTGGAATCATTATCCTTTCAAGAGGAAGAAAACACTCTATTTGCAGGTGGATGGTGGTCATTGAGAAAGTGTGGAAGGGACAGTTTATTAAAATGTACAGGAAACGCATTTCCAGAACTATGCAAAATATGTTAAAATGAGTATGTGGAGCTTGCTTTTGTGACCTGTATTACTGTATTATTGAAATTAATTAAAGGTGTATTACTGCCAATCAGCACGCATGTAAGTTAGAACGTAGGCTATATTCCCTATTTGGTAGTGGTAGTAGAAAAATCAGGATAATGATCATTTCACTTTTCAACTTAAAGTTAAAAACTGTGTGAGTAAACCTGAGCAAAAGAACGGGAGAGTAGAATTATACTGACCTAGTTTACAGTAAATTGGGTTTTAAAAATGAGCAGCTACACTAAAGGAGTGATTTCCACCTGGCAGTTATTGAAGTACATGAAGTACTTTTCAATCTGTTTTTGTGAGTCTGAAGAGTGTCTAGGGGTGATAAAACTTGACAAACAACACTATTGTTTCTAAGATGAAGGTAGTTTGAATTTTATAGAAAAAAATGGCAGTGCATTACTATAAACTCTTAAGCTTTGCATAGGAGGATGCATTTTGGAAAGCTATTGAAAACCAGCCATGGGTATAAAAATGATCAGAAACAGTGTTTGTTGTTGATGTAATCTGCTTAGTTTTAATTTATGCAATGGTTCCACAAAGGCAGTTCTGAGTTGTGAAATCATGGTGGTCATGCACTAATCATGAAATAAGCAGGAATGACAGGAGATCAAATGTTAATTGTAGGCACATTAAGGGGTGGTCACCATGTTTAGAGCTATTTGCCTTGTTTCTAAAACAGCAGGAGTATGTGCTATGGATCATATTGACAATAAAAAATAAATTACTTTAAAAGGATTCACCTTTCAAATTCAAAACCTCACTGGATCAATTTTGAGCAAGTACAGTTTACATTATGGGCCACATTTTCCTTACTTGTGGCCCTTTGGAAGCTTAAAGACTTCTTATCAGAAAAATAGAGACTTAATGTAAAGAAAGAGGAACTTACTTTTTGAAGCCAGCTGACATAACAAATCATTGAGACCTGGTCTCAGGTTTTTAGGAAGAAAGTTCTTATCCAGTCCAGGTAGCAGAGTCCTGTATGAATATGACAAAAACCTTTATTGACCTTCTGACCACAAATAACGTTATCAAAAGAATGGAAATAAAGATTCTACATGATATAAAGATTTGGAGTTCCAAGATACACCAGGTGGCTATTAAAACAACATTGGAATATTGATGCCTCTTAGTATGTTACGATTTTGAGAATCATTTCTGTAATAACAGCTTCTATAACTTTCCTTAAACTTTTGGTTTTACTGCAAAATAAGTTTTCTTAACATCCTGATCTTATCACAGACAGATGACAGATGGAAACCTGAGGAGATAATGAAATACATTCATACTAGTTTTGAAATAAAACCCATACCAGTTATCAACATCACATTACACAATTGAAAGTTAATCTCCGAATTACCGTGGAAACTCCTTGCTGTCGATGAAAACATTTTCACCTCTACCAGAGGGGAGAAATCTCGTGAAAGATCCGTCATTAAGAGGCAGGAGTTGGAGGCCTTCCAGGCCTTGGTGATAATTTCCCTTCAGAATAAATTCAAGGAGTAAAATCCTTTGTCCACCAGGTATAGGACTTAGATCACAAGATCCTAGAAGTCTGCACAGAAACTCTGGTGTTCCCTGAGTAAGCCGGCCCTGTAAAACAGACTTCAGAGAGTTATAGACATGGTCTGGGACTCTGACTAACGGCTCCCGTTGGGAAAGAAGAAGGTGTTCCACAGCTCCCATTATAATGTGATCTTCGCAGGACAGTGGAAAAACAGCTTCTGTTGGCCTAAGCCTTTCGGTGTTGCTGTTGGCCGAGAAAAGAACTTTGTATTCTGATAACAGTCTGGTAACCATTGTCCCTATTTTCTGCCAGCGGTCCTGAGTGACCAAACTGTCCATGTCAGGCCAGAGATTGTAGGTCAACCTTGACTTCATGGGTGTGTTTCCAGTCAACGCCAAGTCAATGGCGCAGAGAATGGTCTGGCAATATGCTGGAGGAAGGAGCTGGTTGACAAGTATTTCATTCCACTGGGCAGCTTCATCATGCTGCTGGTCTTTCTCAAGCCATTTGATTTCACGCCTGTTGTCCGTGAGGCCGAAGCAAGCGTTGACATGGACTGGCAGGCCGGTAGTGTTGGTGTCATTGTCAGGAAGAGGCAGAAAACAGCTCAAGCGGCCCTTAAGTCTTTCAGCAGTGTCGGTCAAAGGGAAAGCAAGCCCAATACAGGGGCGATATTTTAATTTTTCAGCTAGTCTGTCCAGACTGCTGTTCTGTTCATTCCTTGCCGTAAACGAGGAAACAAGCCACACACGTCTGTTTGCCTCTAAATTAAGGTCCTGGCTCGATATGACTTTTAATCCACAGGAAGATTCTGCCTCTGAAAGGAGACTGAGCTCTTCACTTCTTATGCGCACCTGACCCTCTCTATCATGCGAAGCTTTGACATTGAGGTGGTTTGTAACTTTGCCATCTGGGCTGATGTGCATCAGGGAAATGGAGACTACATTTTTGAGAAAAAGGAGGCTCATCTCTGCATCTCCCTTGAATGACTTGAAGAGATCAAAGACCTTTTCCCGGTCATACAGGGTGTCAGAAATCTGTGAAGCCTCAGTCCTCAGTGGAAACCGGAACAGTGTCCCCTTGAAGGTCTCCCCAAGAAGAAGGGCAGCCCAGGAGGTCTGCTTAGATATTTCTTCCAAGGCCTTCCTCAGTGGTTCAAACTGATCTGGGTGATCACATAGCTGTTTTCTGTCTAGTTCATCTTCCAAAGACCACCATCCTCCTTCCTCCAGATAGACCTCCTGTGGGTCCAGAACGCCAATATTGGTGCCACTGAAGATCCAGGGAAGATCTAAAACAACCACAAATTATGCCGTTAGCCTCACATACTGAGGAAAACGTGAAACTGAAATCCTTCGGGGTAACCAGCATGCGTACCAAGGATAAAAAATTAAATAGCATTTTTTAATGAAATTGGAAGAAAAAAGACAACTAAAGAACAGATGTGGCAGTAAAAGTGATTTATTGTAGGATAATTTCAGAAGAATCTTCCTCGACTACATACTATGTTAGGTATACTTGCTCTGGTTCATGTTATAGGACACTCAAACTACTGTCGTGGAAGAACGGAATTCAATCTGGTGATCGATCATACTCTTTACTTTATCTACACGCATTTTAACCATCTTACCTATAATGTTACCTGCACAAAATTCTGTCTTTCCTCTCTCTTTCACACCGAATTGAAAACATTGAAGTTGAGAAATTTTAACTTCTCTGCCAGTCATCGGGAAACACTCCTTTCTAATTTATTACATTTTACCTGTGATGTGATAGATGGAGTGGAACCCAATCCCAAATCTCCCAATCTTATGTGGGTCTTCTTTCTTCACACTTTGGCCAGCGGCTACTATTCCACTCCAGTCTTCCTCAGTGAACACTGCATTGTTATATGCCAGTAGTGCAGGTCCTGTAAGATAAACAGCATTGGAGAAGTTGACTAGAGTATTGTACAGTATCTAGCAACTTGCATGATTCTTCTGGGTAAGAGCCGGGTTCCGTGTTCCAGGGACAAATATGACACATCCAAATCAGATAATTATCTTTATTAATGTTGAAGCAGAATTACACTACGTAAGTGTCAGATTGATACATACGTGTGTGTAAGTAAGGGAGGCATTAAAAACACAACAAATGCCATTGATTCTGATACTCATTTGGTGCATTTTAATGCCTTTCAGCGAGCGTGCAGTGTATTTGTTACTGCCTATCATATGCATTTATTAAAAATGAACTTTGTTCCTACCTTGGAAATTGCAAAGTGTGCTGTCCCAAAGATTCTCGCAGGGGTAATCCCTTTCGTCATACACAAAAATGACTTCTGTGGCTTTTGCATCATCTGCATTTTGAATAAGCTCCTATTAAAAAAAAAAAAAATTAATAAAACCAAATGATTCAGCATTTTAATTAGCAAACGCTCTGACAAGGAGACGTATATTTGCGGTCACAGATATGAGTTTTAGACATACAGTATGTATATGAAGATATATTTTTAAGCATTTCTACTGAGTAAGAAGATGTGATGTTTCATCTTAAACGTGGACAGATTATTGTTTTGCAGAAATTATATAAAATCCCTGTATAATTATTTAAATTTCCCATGAGAAAAATGACATATTTCTTTCCAAATTGTATAAGGGGGAAATTAATTAGAAACATGTAGGCTGTAACCAGAAAAGAGCTTCCAGGTACTGAGAGAATGAGGTGTTTGTGTATAAGAACATAAGGAAGGCTGCAACTAGGAAGATCAGTTGGCCCATCTTGCTCACTTGGTAGTAAAGTACTAACGTAAATCTAAAATATAATCCAGAGGAACTTGCTACAAGCTATGTGGTTTCTTGAGAAGAAATAACAAAGGATGCTGTACTGAGGGGCTTCACAGATACTGTTGTAGGTCATTTGCCAGGCCTTGGGTGAACAAGCTGAGTGACAAAAGTGTTTGCTGCTCCAGAGCAGACTTGGGGAGAGGTGTTGCTTGGTAAAGTAGCAGTCAGTAGGAGTTCTCCTCTTTCCTGGGTCAGAGCAAATCATCTTAATCAACAGAACTAGGCAGTTTGTGTCAAACACACGTCCCTATTACTAAGAAAAGAAGCACCTGTTGTTTCCATCTGAAATGTACTAAATGATATTCTAATTTAAGGAAACCAAGTCATTTCAGCCTGGTATGTGGGACATATGAGAGGTTAACATGTAAAGATACATGAAGACAAGAGAAAACCAAGTAAGAGGCAGTGCCACTATAAGTGATAAGTGACGGGAGGCAGTTCTTGTCGTGAGGCTTTGGATCAGTAAGCTACTGTGAAGCACCGCAGTGGCACTTTACAGTATACTAACAAATGAACAAGCAAGATGAGTCAACGACCACCTATCCATTCTGGCACCTCTGGCATTAAATCAGTCTTTTGTCTCCCTCCTCACCTTAAGGATCTGTCCCCCATCTGGGTACCTGCGAAGGACATCCTTCAGGTACTCAATAAAAGGAGGGGCTCTTGCCCTGAACGTCCTCTTTCTGTTAAGAAGACAAAGATTTCAGGGAAAAGCCTTCAGCAGAATTCATTTCACCTTTCACGTGACCTAAATAGTCACCTGACATTAGCTGTAACATGTGAAAAGTCCTTGATTCCTACTGTACATTGTTTCTTTTGGTATACAAGGAACTAAACGAGTTGATCCTGTAGGCTGACAAAGCACTGGTGAAATATGAGAGCGGCTCGTGTTTTCTGAAAAATACCTTTGCCTGTTACCTTTTCGGTAGGCGGTGCTTGAATGTTAACTGATTGAGATCAGCCTGCTTGACATGATTTTTGGGATTGTGTGTGGCTTGGCACTAAAGAAAAAAAGACGTTACCCTGTTTGTAAAAAGCTCCATCACTTAAAGATGAGTCATTCTTTGTAAGCCTTCTCTAGCTTCTTGATGCTAGAGGAATATTATATATTATTATACAAAGGGATATTACATATTTTACTTTTTGTGTGTGATTGTGCTTGCAATTTGAACACACACTGAAACCCAGTGCAACACAGGACACATCCCATCATTTCCTTACATACTGGTGACACTTCAGACATGCCTATTGACCTGTCTGGACTGTGGGAGGAACCCGGAGGGCTTGGAGAGGACACAGGCAACCACAGGCAGAACATGCGAACTCCACACAGAAGGCACCCCGGGCTGGAACGCAGATTAGGACCCAGCAGGTGGGAAGCAGCAGTACTACCTGCCATGTGACTGAGCTTGTATTCCTGTTAAACTGCACGTTGCCTTGGATAATGTGCCTGGCCGACAACACTATAACCACCAATCATTTCTATTCTTTCATCATATGGACATGAGCTATCTGCAGAGCAGCTGAAGGCACATGGAAAAGGAACAGAAATCAAAGGGTTATTGTGTATGAAGCTATTTAAGGTTACTGCCTGCTGAATAAGGAGACAGCGCACTGAGCACTGCAGAATTCCTCGAAACCTCTCTGTAAACATTTTATAAAGCAGAGCAAAAGGCAATAATGAAGGCAGTATAGGCTGGCAGAATATTTCTTAATACTGGTCATTTTTATGTCCATTGCTTTAGTTACATTTGCACAGTTCACCTACAGTACTTAAGACTCAAGTCCGCTGAATATTTAAAGGCAAGGTAAACCATGCATGGTATTTTAAATACAGTATTTCGGACGGATTTTAATCTTGCGTTTTGCATTGTGTTTTGCAGTACGATATTAACTTCAGAGTAACTCGTAAAACTACTGGACAGTCTAAAAGCAGGCATACGAAATACTTCGAACTGTTATAAGCAACAAGTGAAATTGAGCTCCTGCAGCTTTTCTTTAGCTAAAGACAAAGTCCTCATCTGAGAGACCTTTGCAAACTGTAATTTGAACGGGAATCTGCCGACTCTCTGGACAGTGACGAGATTATCGCCACATTCAGTTCCAAACCCCGACGCCTGCGTCTGGTCTAGAAGACCAAAACCTCACCGCAGAGGTAGGCACGGTTTGGTTTTGTGTGTGCGTCCGCCGTGGCGTAGTAGCTTCGGCAGCCTAGGTAATTGTTGCTTAACCTGTGTGTGTGTGAGAAAGAGACAGTATGTATACTGTATATAAGGTTCCGCTAATTCTGCTGTTTGATTATACCGCTTGAGGATTGGATTGTAAATTGGAGGGGTGCCCCTGTGCTGGCAGGACGGTCAGTTAGAGCCCGGTCACCCCACTTTTCCAGTCCCACCCAAAAATCAATTCCTACGCTACACCCCTGTACCATATACAATTCTTATTATAATTTATAAGTTAAATCAGACTTACCGAGGCATCGCTGCCGGGAGATCTTGAACAACAGACGTCTCTTTTTAAATAAACTTTTTCGCCAGCAAAGGGAGATCTGGAGCACTCTTAAAGAACAGTCTAAAAAAATTCAGTTAAATGAATCGTTAACAGTAAAAATACTGTGCATCGGTGCTTGATTGTAATGTTAAAGGAACAGTCTTTAATCTGAGTACTAAGATTTTTTATTACAACTTTAAACTAACTTCATTTTCTGTTTCTAATAAAGTATGAGGACTGCATCCCTCATTGTGAATATGACCCGGACATATTCTTCACTCCATCACTTACTATTCGCCGTCACTGCTCTGAAGATGCTGCTTCACATCGTCCTGGGTTGTGCTGTGCAAATCTGAGTTCGGAGTTGTTGATGCATTTGGTTTTTATATCCGAAGACAAATCTACTCCCACGTCACAACAAGGAAACGCCCATCTTCCTTCTTTCGTTTTCGCCGCTGTGTGCTTCTTAAATCAATTAATTATTGCCGTTTTAAGAGTATTTTTATTCATGCTGTACAATACTCCGTCCACTTCAAACGACCTAATTCTCTATTTTAATTCAGTGTATAAACGTTGCATTTAAATTGCAGCAACCAGCTACAGGAATAACGGGCAGAAGAGCTCGAGAAACGAAACTTAAACGTCAAGAGGAAACGAAACTTTGTTGGCCTCAACCAATACACAGATATTCAAGTGGGGAACTGCACTTGTTATTGAGCGTCCAAGTCCATCATTCCCCTTCCACCAGCAACGTTTAGATTTAAAATACTGTATTAACACCACGTGTGTGACGCTGCTTTGCGAAAAGTTACATTTTCTAAAAACGTACAAAATCTCCTTTACCTTCGAATATTCCTCAAGAGCAGCTCTAACTTACAACACTTTTAGGAGGCAGGGGCTGCATATTTGTATGATGTTGGTCTTGTTATTCCTGTTCCCCTTGAAACAATGTAGTCTGTAAAATGTTTCTGATAACGTCTCATGTTAGGACTCGTGTATACTGTAGGTTTCCTTAATTGACGCACAGCGAACAACCAGGAAGTGAAGTACCGCAGCGGCACTTCACATACAGTACAGGATACAACGTGTACCAGATTCTGGTGTGATCTTTTCTCATTTTTGTTGTCACATTTTTACTTAGAAATTCAATATTGCTTCACAAAAGCTACTTTAAAAATAAAACCATGGTGGTGCCGTCAAGGAAAAAAAAATACTGATTTGGAAATACATACAGTACTTTCGTGGACATACAGGCAATATACTGTACAGTGCAATATTAAAAAACCTTTGTAGAATTACAAAATGATGCCTAACTTATGGAGACCCACATGTACTGTATGTGCTACGCATACTTTGATTTTCTTTCTTTAAATAAAGAAAAGCCGTCCTGTAGCCTCTTAACTGAACGATTCAATCTGTCCTATGCCAATATGCATGTTTACCTCCAGCACTCTCACATATCCATTTTCTGCACAGAGGTGAAGATGGGGTCTTGCCAAACTTGTCCCTTTCGTTCTCATTGACCCCAGAGAAATCAGATCAGCCACCATTAAATGCTGGTTCTTCTGCACCACCAGAGTAGTCGGGGGGACAGGGTGGGCTCTGGGGAGAAGGCAGCGCACAGGTGGTAAGTGGGGACTGTTGGAGAGCTGTTTCCTGAGCTTGGCTCCATGACTGAGCTGTGTTGGGAAACTCCTGCACCCGTGAGTAAAGTGTTTTTACATGATTAAACGTTGGGTAGCACTAGAGCACTGTGCAGTTTAAACATACCGTAACACCACTAGATTTGAATTCTTTCATTTACACAGCCTAACAATGTTTGTCATTTTATTGTATTGCTGCACGGAAGATGTAAGTGATGTGTTACCAGAAATATTCAATCTTATATGGTGAGACTTTTCAAGGCACCCAAAGAAGGCTCCACAGACGAAATGTTGTGTTTCTCTTCTTCTCTTTTCAGCATGAAGTAAACCTGTACTTGTTCCTTTGCAGCCTACGTATGCTGACGCAGCTCCCTACTTGAACTACATCATCTGATATACATTTCCTGTTTAGCAGCAATCCTCCCGAAGCTGCATGACCTAAGGTGGGTAAGGGGATGAGGTCATCTATCAATGTAGTGGGTCTTCATCCAGGTTCTCTGACCTGACCTCTGACAGTGTCTGGCCAGTGCTTTGACAATGTTGTCTGTCTGGGTCTCTCAGTCCTCCTC